CAGAGTGAAAACCTCTTGTCATTTTAAATGGTTCTTGTTAGCATTATTAACACTTTGACCTTCAGATCAATCAAACTTGACCTTAAAGGAGAGGTCTATGAGAGGTATGTGTTGACACACCACACTTGTAAGAATCATAGTTATCAAGTCATAAGGCTTTTTATCAATTTTCAACCAATAAATCATTAAGCTGACCTTGAAGACAATGGTGCATTTAAGCCAAATTTTAATGGATTGTTAACATGATCCCACTTTACACTCCTGCAAAGTTTTATCAGAATTCATTCAACTGTTTGAGCCATTGTTTTTACAAACATAATGGCATGCATGCACACAAACACTACTAAAAACACAACCTCCTAGGTGGTGACAATGCTTAAATTTCAGTGCTGCATATTGTAATGCAGCCTTACTTATACAGTGGGGCAAAAAAGTATTTAGTCAGCCACCGAGTGTGCAAGTTCCCCCACCTAAAATGATGACAGAGGTCAGTAATTTGCACCAGAGGTACACTTCAACTGTGAGAGACAGAATGTGAAAAAAAAAAAATCCATGAATCCACATGGTAGGATTTGTAAAGAATTTATTCGTAAATCAGGGTGGAAAATAAGTATTTGGTCAATAACAAAAATACAACTCAATACTTTGTAACCTTTGTTGGCAATAACAGAGGTCAAACGTTTACTATAGGTCTTTACCAGGTTTGCACACACAGTAGCTGGTATTTTGGCCCATTCCTCCATGCAGATCTTCTCGAGAGCAGTGATGTTTTGGGGCTGTCGCCGAGCAACACGGACTTTCAACTCCCGCCACAGATTTTCTATGGGGTTGAGGTCTGGAGACTGGCTAGGCCACTCCAGGACTTTCAAATGCTTCTTACGGAGCCACTCCTTTGTTGCCCGGGCGGTGTGTTTTGGATCATTGTCATGTTGGAAGACCCAGCCTCGTTTCATCTTCAAAGTTCTCACTGATGGAAGGAGGTTTTGGCTCAAAATCTCACGATACATGGCCCCATTCATTCTGTCCTTAACACGGATCAGTCGTCCTGTCCCCTTGGCAGAAAAACAGCCCCATAGCATGATGTTTCCACCCCCATGCTTCACAGTAGGTATGGTGTTCTTGGGATGCAACTCAGTATTCTTCTTCCTCCAAACACGACGAGTTGAGTTTATAGCAAAAAGTTCTACTTTGGTTTCATCTGACCACATGACATTCTCCCAATCCTCTGCTGTATCATCCATGTGCTCTCTGGCAAACTTCAGACGGGCCTGGACATGCACTGGCTTCAGCAGCGGAACACGTCTGGCACTGCGGGATTTGATTCCCTGCCGTTGTAGTGTGTTACTGATGGTGACCTTTGTTACTTTGGTCCCAGCTCTCTGCAGGTCATTCACCAGGTCCCCCCGTGTGGTTCTGGGATCTTTGCTCACCGTTCTCATGATCATTTTGACCCCACGGGATGAGATCTTGCGTGGAGCCCCAGATCGAGGGAGATTATCAGTGGTCTTGTATGTCTTCCATTTTCTGATGATTGCTCCCACAGTTGATTTTTTCACACCAAGCTGCTTGCCTATTGTAGATTCACTCTTCCCAGTCTGGTGCAGGTCTACAATACTTTTCCTGGTGTCCTTCGAAAGCTCTTTGGTCTTGGCCATGGCGGAGTTTGGAGTCTGACTGTTTGAGGCTGCGGACAGGTGTCTTTTATACAGATGATGAGTTCAAACAGGTGCCATTCATACAGGTAACGAGTGGGGGACAGAAAAGCTTCTTACAGAAGACGTTACAGGTCTGTGAGAGCCAGAGATTTTCCTTGTTTGAGGTGACCAAATACTTATTTTCCACCCTAATTTACGAATAAATTCTTTACAAATCCTACCATGTGGATTCATGGATTTTTTTTTCACATTCTGTCTCTCACAGTTGAAGTGTACCTCTGGTGCAAATTACTGACCTCTGTCATCATTTTAAGTGGGGGAACTTGCACAATCAGTGGCTGACTAAATACTTTTTTGCCCCACTGTAGTTATGTTGCAGTAAACTGGCAGAGATGTGTACTTTATCTGCAACACTTAATTTTTATAAACTTAACTCATGTTTAGACACATTAACTACATGTAGGAAAGAAACAAAGCCAACACAATGCAGTTTTTTAAATAATAAAAGGCAAGTAGAAAACAATTTTTTAAATAAATGTGTGTAGATGAGGCATGTGTAATTTGGGGTTTAACTTAACTGTCAAAGAATAACCTTATACTGGGCTGAAATAAACTTGTTAGTGTCCTCTCAGGTTGAAAGAAGTTCATGCTGGATCCAAATTAGTAATCATACCTGTCAGTGTCCTGATGCATGCTCAGTCATCCAGGTAAGTAAATCACCAAAAGTTGATTCTGTTCATCTGGACGTAGCGTTTTCAGTGGGAGAAACGTTTCGTCACTCAGCCAAGTGCCTTCTTAAGTGACTGTGCTGTGATGTACACATCTTCATCACCGCTGTTCACTGTGAAGAATTTCACTTTGTGCTTAGAGATGAAAGAAAGTGTTAAGTAGGCTAACAGATGTTTGTTTGTTTTTTTTAATCTGATGTCTCCCTGTAGACTGCACCAAATCGGACTCAGCTCAGGGAGAAACTGCAAACAGACATATGACATATTACTTCCAGCCCTCCATCAACAGCCAGGACACTGTAGTCACATCAGCCCACTTCTGGTTCTTTGCAGGCGAAGCAGTCACAGCTAACTCCTCCGCCCAGCTTTTCATTGTAACCACAGCACTAGAACGACTCCAGGCAGCGGAGGCTCCATCAAATTCAAGCTCTGATGGATGGACCACCTACCATCTGGATCAGAACCTGCTGGCCCTTGTCGCCGAAGGCCCCTTTCTTCTTCAGGTCCACTGTCCAGCCTGTCAGTGCCACGCAGGAGAACCAGACAAGATGCCCTTTCTTCACCTCCATGTTCAACCTCGTGGACCTTCCCGGTCACCCCGCAATGCAGCAGTGACCATTCCTTGGTCTCCCTCTGCCATCTATCTTCTGCAGCGGCCCTCTCAGGAAAGGCCTCTACACAGCGACTGCCACCGAGCAGAGATCGACATCAGCTTTGAGGAGCTAGGGTGGGACAACTGGATCGTCCATCCGAAAGTGCTGACGTTTTACTACTGTCACGGAAACTGCTCGGGTGGGGATCTAACCACTGCAATGTTGGGGATCACTCAGTGTTGCGCTCCTGTCCCGGGGACCATGAGGTCCCTGAGGATCACCACGACATCTGATGGTGGATACTCATTCAAGTATGAGACCTTGCCTAACATTATACCTGAAGAGTGTACATGTATCTGAACATCAGACCTTAAAGGCCAGTTCACCCAAATAAAAGATTTCAGTTTACTTACAAGTCACAGTTGAAATTTGATTACTGCTCTTATTAAACTTGATTTTGTCTTATTCACTTACAATTCTGTCCTGATTGTTCTCTAGTTTGGGTGTGTGCTACATAAGCCTCAAAACAGATTGTACTTTATATGTTAACCTTGATTAAAGTGTTATTTAGCGGGTTTTGTTTGTTTAATGTGTTGTTTTCACCCTTTCACTGGTACTGCTTAGTGTACCTCACATCAATATTCAACACACAGTCATACAAGGAAGTGTAAGATATAGTTCTACATGTGCTAAAAATTAAAGTCAATAAAATTTAAGATACTTTTTCTAGGAACACTTTAACCATCAATTAAAGTCCTTACTGCCGTAAATTAAATAAATTGAACATTGTAAAAATGGCCAATGACACGATCAACTTAAAATTAAAATTTCTGTTAAAATTTCCTTGTTTAATTTATCTATTGAGTTCTATACATCTGTTCCTTTCCACATAACTTAGTCGCATATTTGCTATACCAATTTTTTTGGATATGTATGCATAAATTTGGCATTTTAGATACATTGCTTAAAACTCAATTCATACCTGATGAGGACTTGGTCGATATGTTTGCTTTGCTTGCTGAATTAATCCAGAACCCCCAATTGACCAATTTAACGACTAAATCAAGGGGAAAATTGGGTTCTTCCCTTATTGGGCCACTGAAAGATTATTATTATTATTATTATTATTATAATAATAAACCAAAGTGACATAGTGAAATAGTTTGAGCTCATTTAAACCCCTTTTAACCATTACTTGATTATTCCTCTGGAGGGCATAGTAGGCCTACTTTAAAACCCATCATTTTACCTTAAACAGTATGACTGACCCTGTAGATGTCAGGGTAACTAACAGATGTCACTCGTTTTTACAATCCAATAAATTTTCATTTTAATTGATAAATTAACATGTTAATACATATTGAGCAGACTGCAATTCAACCACAGGTTTAAACAATTATTAAAAATAAATCAAATCAAGGACAGGAGTAAACGATTTCAAATATATTTATTTACTCTGAAGACAAAATAATCTCTACAGTTACAATAACTACAAAACTTGCAATAGAAAAAAAAAGTACTATACTCAAAAATTGAATGTCGTACCTCGAAATAAGTAGCAAAACTGGAAGTGAGATGATTATAAGAATACAGCAACAGTTCTTTGGCGATCCGCACTTTGTTCTCCAGGATATAAAACCAACTATGAAAACGTTTCAACTGTATGAATACTGAAAGCTACTGAACACAAAAAAAAAAAAAAAAAAAAAAAAAAAAAAAAAAAAAAAAAAAAAAAAAAAAAAAAAAAGGAAGGAAGGAATCTCACGGTGAGTTGAAGATTACATGTTTACATGGCACCAGGCTGTGCGTCAGCAAACTGTCATCCTTTCCTCAGCTTGGCTTTTCTTCCTCCTTCTTTCCCGGGATGCACAAAGGTATCCGTGTTTCAGCACGAAGGAGAAGGAGAAAGAGGTTGCATGTCAAGGACGGAAAATATGTCTCACTAAAGAAGAATGTAAATTTGTAAAGACAAGGGTGGAATTACATGTTTGACAGTGCCCCAGAAAACAGATGTTTCTAGCCAGTTAGCATGAAAAACCACAAAAAGTGAATTTATTTTCCAACTTTCTGCCCCAACGAACACAAAATATTTGTTTTAGAACATAATTTAGGAAAGGATTAACATTGAAATGCTGAGGTGGTATTTGCATGACAACACTTCCTTCTACACAAATGTCACTAGCCTACAACGTTTGGTCAAAAAAAAACAAACAAAACAAAACAAAACAAAAAAAAAAAACTTAAATAAAGGCCGGTAAAATGATTGTACAAAGATGATTGTTGGAAATGTGTGGAACGGTTCCTGTTGATTAAAGAATTCAAGCATTTCCCAGGTAAATATTTTTGGCTGATTTGGGTAAATAGGCTTAGAAAAGAAATAGAAAAAAAAAATCTTTCTGTCAAACATTTCTGAAGTGGAATTATCTGGCTAATACACCAATAATTCCCAACATTTAAATTAAAGATGACTCATCCAGTTACAGGTTTAGCCCCACTTAACAAGCTTCTGCACATACTCAAAAACATTACATAACGCAAGGTCATGTTTAAGATTTGAGACCAATAAGCTTCAACCAAGTGAGACATCAACATTCAGAAACATTAATAAAAAATAAAAAGCCTCTCTTGTGAACCAAACAAAAAAAAATAAAAAAAATACACTCAGCTGAAGCTTACAATAATCCTTGCGTGGTCTTATAATGGACAGGTTATTGCAATGCAACAAAACACAGAGATGACGAAAGAACATGGGGTAGACGAGGTCTAGCCAAAGGCACAGTCAAAGTTTGGATGTAGGTCGGCAAGCTTTCAAGTTTAGAGTCGTGGAAATTAACCATTTGTCACAACACCGCTCAGTCAGCATTTCTTTGTTTTCAACTGACCTCTAATACTGAAAGGCACATTTCTCTCATCCCCACACACAAACACACGCACACATATTACACACACTTTGGTCTCCCTCAGTGGTCTGACTGCATTCCCATATGTGCTTCCCCCATGTGTTTAAGGCCAGTAGGAATGAAAGGACAGACATTTGAGGCAGGAAGCACGCTCAGGCATGTATCCCTAGAAGATAAAGAGACCAGAGATTATTAAGCATGCATGTTCACTTAAAACTGAGATTTTTTCTGATGTTTTTAGGTCAAACCAAAGTAGGAAATAAACCACAAAAAATAAATAAAAATCTGACATAAAGTCCAAAGTTAAGCCTGTATTTACATAATCGGCTGGAAGTAGAAAGATTCAATATTCTTCTCTGGTTTCCATGTGCCAAATATTAAGGTTAGTGCCATCCTTGAATTTTAGAGTGCTGACTGGACAAAATTTCAAACAACTAAATGATGGAAAGCCAACAATGAAGGGTTGGATCTCTATAACTGCAGTTCCTCTAATGGCCACTTGAGGCCCATTTAAAAAAAAAACCCCCACACACTATTCCAAGTCATGATAGGACTACTTAATTGTTTTAATACCACTTTGGTGGAAGAAGACGGCTGTAGTCGGCAGCCATCATCATCATAATGATGCAATCACCTGGTAAATAATTACTTTGTACAGTTAACTGTACTCACAACCTGTTATAATCTGTGCTTCAGTCTGCCAAGTTAAAATCTAATATTGTATCTCTAGGTCACTTAGAAGCTAACTCGGACTGGGCAATGCACCACTGGATTCCATGTGCAGCTTTCCAACCAAACTCTCTAGCATTAGCTAATACCTTAGCACTCCACCATCTTGCCCAAATATGGTCACTTCAGTCTTAAGACAAGCAAGATGGCAGCAGCCATAAAGCTAAAGTTGAGGCTTCAAAATGCAAACCCACAAACCAGTGGGTGAGGTCACTGTGGCTACATGTTTCACAGAGTCTATGATTTTAGCTGATTAATCACATCTTCCAGCCCTAATTTATTTATAGAAAAAGTACTTTTATATGCTGGCAATACTCCTCTTCTAAATATTTTCTCCATGGTTTAGAGCTGCAAATAATTTTCTTCAATTTTTAACAGTCCAAAACCCAAATGATGTTAATTTACAGTTATACAAAACAGAAGAGTGGCAAACTCTTACTTTTGAGAAACCTGAACCACATTTAGCTGAATGTTTGGCTTTTTATATAAATAAATGATTTGGTTTTGATTATTGAAGGCTGAACTCTACCTCCTGGTTCATCTGTGTCAAATTCAGTGTGTCGAATGGAGGTCCGAGCGTCTTCTTTACCTTTCTCGCTCGCCTCTCCTTGCTTCTCCTGGGCAAAATTGAGACGGTTCTGCTCTGCAGCAGTCTGTGCAGCTGTGTTAACCTCTGGGCTGCTGCTGCGTGAAGGACTTCCTTCATCCACCTGGTAGGCGAGGTCCAGGTGCTGCTGGGCCAGCCTCAGGTGTCTTCTCAACCGCTCGAGCTCCCTGGACGAGGGACCCTCATCCCCAATACTCTCTCGCCCAGAATCACCCATTGGCAAGTCCCTCAGCTCTTTCATTTTCTCCTTTTTCATGGTGGCGTGGTATCCTGGTGGAGCTGTAGGCATGGAGCGTGAGGCCGGTGGACGGGAGGTGCGTGTGTTGAGGGTGGCCCGCCTGCGGAAAGTGTCACGGATGCTGCCGATACCCAAATGGATGATTTCCAGGATGGTGAGGAGAAGGCAGAGAAAGGACACAACGTACATCACCAGAAGGAAGATCGTCTTCTCCGTGGGACGGGAAACAAAGCAGTCCACCGTGTGCGGGCACGGAGAACGAGTGCAGACATAGGAGGGAATCACCTCGAAGCCGTAAAGAATATACTGCCCAAAAAGGAAGGCCACCTCAAAGGCAGAGCGCCACAGCAGTTGGCACACATAGACTTTCATCAGGCCGTCACGCAAGATCCGCCGGCGACCATCATGTTTTTTCTCTGAGCCTTGAAAACAGAAACATTAGAAGCCAACTTAGTATCAAGTAGGGGTTGTAATCTATTAGAACATTAAAGATGCTTTGTGAAAGACGTACTGCTGCCCTACTTTGTTCTGCTTTGTCTGTCTTTTCTGGTTCAATCTCTTCAGCAATCATTGGGTCTTCTTCTCCGTTGTCCTCTACCTCTTCATAGTCCCTCGCAGCCCCACGTTTGATGATTGGTATTCTCTTCTTCCGCTTTGGGCCCGGCCGAAAGTCCGTCTCTTCCATGCGGGCGATCTTGTGCATGGCAAATCCAAGGTACATTATGGTTGGGGTGGTGATCATGATCACCTGGAGGTAAATGTATGCATGTTGACATTAACAGTACTGTTTTGTGTGAGTAAAATAAACACCGACAGCCTTCTTTTGCTAGAGCTCACCTGGAAGATCCAGAATCTGACATGTGAGAGCGGCGCAAATGCATCATAGCACACGTTCTCACAACCAGGCTGCTGTGTGTTGCAGACAAATTTGCTCTGTTCATCATAGTAGATGGTTTCGCCGCCAACGGCCGTCAGCACAATGCGGAAGATGATGAGCACAGTCAGCCAGACCTTCCCCACAAAGGTGGAGTGGTTGGATATCTCATCCAGCAGACGGGTTAGAAAGCTCCAACTCATGGTGCCAAGGTGATCGGACCACTAAGTTAGCTCTGGGTTCAAAACAAAAGCATGAGACTGAGAAGTGATGGGAAAACTTCGTTTTGCATTCATAAAAATCAAAGTGAGCAAGAACAGCAGCCTGTGAATCTGTGAGGTTTATGCATGTCTTATTTTAGGATCACAGCAACTAAAAGAAGCCTTTGTGGACAGATGGTCATACAGCAGATGTTTATCATTAAGTATGAAACAATTAGCTGAATAATTATAGGCTGATCCACAGAAATGTAATCCAACCACACACACACACACATATAAACGCCTTGTTGAGTGCCCACAGCAGATGTTTTGTATGCTGGGGGGGGACAAAAACCAAAACATTCAATCAGTGTGATGACTTTGAACAACCTTGTTAAAGGACCTCTGTATGTACAGAAAATAAACATTTCGAGCTCTTATTCAATTAAGTTAAATATTGAAGCATTACTTCAACCGAAAGTCACTAGAAGAAACCAAATGATAAGCTTTCACACCCAAAAGAAGATTAAAACCATGCATTTGGAAATGCAGGTATTCCAAGAAAGTCTCCACAACAAATCTTAAAAAATAAATAGATAAACAAAAGCCACACATTTGGTATCAAGTAACACGAGGCCCATACAGGTGGTTTAAACCCAGGTCAGACATACAGGTCTTTAAATGCGAATCAGTCTTGTTGGTCAGAGTGCACTAGTCCCTAGCAGCATTTTCGAGAACCAACATTCCTACACCTCACTGCCACGCCAAGCTAGAGATGCTTAATCAGAATCAAAGAGGCAACTGGCAAGTTGCAGCTAGCTCTGAGGAGACCTGCTGTGGCTCCAGGCTGCAGGAATTATGATATTATAGCAGTGACTAGATCTAGGAATTTGCTCTCCAACTCTGCACCAGAAACTATTCTTTTAAATTCCTTCAAGTGTGGCAAATACTCAAAAAGTAATGTGCAAAATGTCTTACAGCAGTGGCTGTAAGCTTTAGCAGCCAGCTGGAAATAACATTTAGAGTTGATGTAGCAGTTTAATAACTGATCAAGATAAGATTAGCTTTGTGCTTTTCCCCTCCAATTCTGGCTAAAGCCTGACTGAACTCAGTTTCAAAACACATCCTGGATCAGTCTAGTCTGTGATGAGGGTATTCTTTAACCAAACAGGGCACCAGACACACTGTAAAAGAGAAATGCCACCATAACTTTATTTCAAAACACATTTGATTGAAACCAACACAGAGGGGGAGGAGGATGAGAAAAAGGGACTCTATGAACTGCTCATCTTTACAATTACGCTTTTAGACCACAGGGTGTAGCAAAGAAAATAAGCAGCATTTCATGACTCATTGCAACAGCATCAGCCTTTAGCCATTACAGGCATCTGTAGGCTTGTCTCCTCAGATTAGCATTTGACACTCAGACGCATTGTTCATCATCCAGTCCTCTGAAATTCTTCTTTTCCAACCCTGGCACCTTCTGACGCTGAAAAATGGTTAGAGTGACTTGCCCGAGCCTGACCTGCGTAATGGAAAAATATCCCACAAAAAAAAAAAAAAAAAAAAAAAAAAAAAAAAAAAATTAACAAGGCCTTAGTCTCACGAGACTAAGCCACACCAAAGCTATGAAAACTTCCAGACAGTAGGTCCCTGAAATCATCCCCTCAGATTTCGAACTGCAACAGCGTCGCCCTGAATCTAGAATTACATTTTGAAAACAAAAAATTACAAGCTTCATCTACTAAAGAAGGGGCATCACACTCACATCCCTGGGAAATGTACACTTGGTTTTCTAAAGCTGACAAAAGAGACAAAAAACAAAACAAAACAAGAGACAAGTCCAGTTGCCTGGTGATATCCATTTTACCCTCAACGCAGTGTTACAAAATCCACCTTTAGATGGCACATTAGCCAAGAGGTCTCAGAGGACGAGAGAAAAGGCTGCTGCTAAAATTTAAAAGCCTCTTTCTGGCATTCATTCAGCAAGGCAGACTTATCCCTTTAAACCTCCGCCCCCAGGGCAGCACTGCCTTTGGTTTCCTCCACTGAAACTTGTTCTTGCATTGCAACAGTTTGGCCTAAGTGTGTATTGAGGACATGACCTGATATAAAGAATACCGCACACAGACCAAAAGCATCTCTCAAGCAATGAAAGGCACGAGCAGGCTGACCAATAATGGACATCTAATCTCAGTGTAATTAGGAAAAACCTTTAATTAGAAGAAGAAAAGACAAAACAAGAAGCCAGAAGCCGAGATTTCAGTTTGACCTCACTGAATTCCTGCTATCAGTTTCTAACCAAGCTTATCAGTCACCTGAACAAGCACCTGGAAAAAGCCAGTGACCTAGCCAGCAGAATTTACGAAGGCGAAGCAGACATGCCAAACAAGTGCGCACATTTAAAAACTTTTTTTTTTATAAATATGCTTTGCGTGCTCTTGCACCATCTCCTAACATCCCATACTCCCCCTCAAGAAAAATAAGCTGCAGAAAACAAATGTGTGAGTTTTGCTGAGTGTTTGGTGAATGACAAGAAAAATTTACTGTGTCATCACAGCTATGGTGACATTAAAAAAAAAAAAAGACGAAAAGAAAAACAACAAAGAAGAGAAAAAAAAGGAGGAATGCAATTTTGTGCCACGGGCTCAGAATAGTTTTGAGTTTCCAGCTGTTGTTCACTTTGCACAGGACTGCTCCAGAAGGGAGTTCAGCTCGTGCTAATGCTCAGGGTCCATTAAGAGTTTCTAGAGGTGCTGAGCTAAAAGAAGCAGGGAGGGGGAAAAAAAAAATAAGTTGAGACAGCAGCAAACGCACAGAATTTACTCATCTCAGGGGGCTTTACAGCACCCCTTGTTAACACACTGTAAAACTGCCCTCCCCTCCAGATAAAGACACCAAGGAAACCAAACATTCGCCTTTCAGCTATACATTTGACTAAGACAAACATGCATCTGGCTCAAGTAAATTTGAGCATTTTGTGCAGACTCACAAATGCACTGAAGTCGGCTTTAAAACAAAAAAAAATACAAACAACAACAAAAACAGTAGCTTATTTGCTCATGTGGTTTAAACCCTTTTCTGCTTCAGGAGTCACTATGCTCTCCAGGAGTTATGAGTGGGGTGGGTTGTGGAGAGTTTTTTTGGGGAAGGGATCTGGACAAAGGGAAAGTTAACATTCCTGCCTAACCAAAAGCAGAAAGCTGGGATTCTTAGGGTTCAGGGAGCAGACAGAGGGCACATGGACTCCCAATACAATCAGAGCAGCAGGAGGAGAACCATCCAGCATCTGCAAATGCAAATCACATCTTTTTTTTTTTGCTGTCTACAATAGTTTGACTTTGAGGAGAGCAGGGACAAAAATTAAATCTAAAGTGGAAAATGTAGTCAATGCACATGATTGATGTCGGTTTGTGTAGCTGGAAGGAAGTTTAAAAGCTCCTTGGTGGAGCTGTTGAAGGCTTCGAATACGCTTTGCTGAGTCAGACTGAATTGTTTTGGAAATTGTGGCATTCCTGGAGGAAAACTAAGTCCTGCCAAGCTTCAGTGGGGAAACAAGAATCCTCTTCTTCTTAGAAGATGAAGCCATCAAGTTCAGAGTCTGACTTCTGAAAGTTCAAAACAGCCATTAGCACATGAACTGCTCCCTTAAAAAAAACTTCTATTTACATATAAGAACTTTTTTCCTTGCACTGTGTGATCTCACAATGTTGCGAGCCGCACTAATGGTGACGTTATTCAAAGTCTCCATGTGTTAAATTTTTCCCCTTAGTTTAAAAACTGACGAATATAGGAAGACTCACCACTGACACTCCGGCACGCACAGCTTCAGAACTCGCCACGCGGACCTACTCAGTATATTTAGACTAAACCCTGCTCTTTAAAATAAATAATAAACAAACTTCTCGGGTACCAAACACAAAAACACAAAAACAAACAAACCACAGTCGGCTTCAGCTAAACTCCAAAAGGAAAACCAAACGACACTAACTTTTCTCGAGACCAAACACTCACCTTCTGCACTACAATCGGCGCGCTGCTTCTCTCCTCGCGCTTAATTGCTTCACCACGTTTTTCTAATTAGCGCGCGCGCGCTCGCTCGCTCGCTCACGCCGACCGTCTGCGTCCGAGGCAGCTTTCACTATGAAGCCATTCAGCCCGCGTTGACCCCATGTGTTGGGGTCCCGAACGAGAGCACAAAAGAAAGAGAGGTCTGCGACTCCTGCAGGCTCCTGCTTCCCTCCTCCTCCTCCTGCTGCTGCTGCACCTCCTCCACGTAACTCGGCCCCATTCAAGAACAAGAGGAGGCCCCTGAAACCTGAGCTGCCCGACTACCGTTCTGCCCTCACGGTGAAGAACCAGGGGAATCCTATAGGTCTTTGCAATGTCCCGGATAAACTGCTGTCTGGACACGAAAGGTATGTCACAACAGGGCAGCCACTTAGTATGGAGGCCGAAAAATGCCAAAAATTCTGTTTATAAAAAAAGTAATTACAAGAAAATAATTTCTCTGGAAAGGCTGTGCAAATATTTCGTGCATTAAAAATATTTTTTGGACTTGCCTATTCTTAATGCAAAATGTCAACAAGAGTTGCCTCAATGTAAAGGTAAAGGCCTTACAGTAATACAGCAATACTTTTTTTTTTTTTTTAAACCAAGCTAAATTGTTCTGATTTTCTGACCAATCAGATTGATGTATTTTGTAACAAGCGTGCTCATAGCTCAAAGTGTGCACAGGACTATGCGATGATGCAGAGATATAGAAATGGTAAAATAATACAGTTTTACCTCAGGCACAAAGCTAGATGCTGCTCCAGGTCAATCGGCTCTCTGAAATCATTTCTCTGCCTCTCAGGTGTGGTCCCAGCTCTGCGAACAAGATTTCAAACTGCCTCACTGACATCATGAAATATGTCCAAAAGCAGCCATGATACATCTTCAACTCCTGGATCAAACTATGAAATTCTCCCGGCTGCTGCTTTGGCTGAATTCATAATCTCAGGTTTTGTCTTTTCTTGTTTAGAGACATCACTTGATTTCAACTTTGTTTTTCTGTTTTACTTTGTTTTTTGGGGGGGGGGTTTAGGACAAATTTTACAAGTCCAGCTGAGGAAGTGACAAGCTAACAGTACAGAGCAAATAGCAAACATGTATCTACAGTATTACATGGATCATGGGTTTAAAACACACTTTACCTTCATCTTTTTCTTTCTCACCACATCAATGAACGATTCATTTCTTTTAAGCGTGTCCTTCACATGTTTTGGTTTCTGTCTGGTCCTGGTCATGCAGTTGTGTCCCCAGAAACACTTAATTTTTTTCTATATTATTATTATTATCATTATTTTTATTGTTATGAAGCTTTTGCAAAAAAAAAAAATCCTATTTCTTTTGTGTTTTATGTGCATTGGCAGCATTTTTCCTCTCTGAGCCACCATAGAATCACCGTAATTATTTATCTTTGTAATTAAGTTACATAGGTATTTGGCATAAGTTAAAATTATGACATAGTTTACTTTTTTTTTTCTTTTTGTAAAGCAGCTGTCAAAAATAAAATGATTAATAAAGCAATCCTTTTAATCGGAACATTATAATCTTTATGGACCTTCATAAAGGCGTTTCTAATTACCTGGCACACATTTAAAGGACTCACGTGAGACAGATTAGCACAGGTCAGAACTGGGGCAGAGATATGTTGGATGCTGGATCCAACCCTTCCCATAACACAGTTTGATAGCATCTCTCATCAGACCCTCATTTCCTGATAAGTGCCCCACGTCTTTAAAGCTTCACGTCCAGTTCGAAGATCAGTATCTGCGGTTTCTAAACTCTCGTCTGAGATGACATCACTTCGAGAAGCCTTCAAAGCTCGCCGAGAGTCACGGAAGATTAGACAACTGTTACTGATTTTTGCTGTTTAAAATCATGGAAGGTCCCCTTTAAGTAAGGCCAAAGACACACCACTTGAGACATTTCTTCAGTTCGATTCTTGCTTATCTCTAAACGTTCTTGTTTGTTTTATGCAAAAACAAAAGCACACAGAGTGTAACACCACCATATTGTAATAGTTTGTCTTTCTGCTGAGGACCCCTGTATTATCCTCCTCCTGGACCACAGTTTGGCCTGACAGAGCACTGCGTGACTGCAGCTTTTACACGAGGAGGCCCACCATCCAAGAATTTAGTTGACTCGAGCATTCGGCAAAACAACAGATTTCTTGCTGTCATGCACAGTGCAGCTGTAGTGCTCCTGATTTACCAGAGGACCTGAAATGTTTGGAGGAGCCTGTGGGAAGTCGAGTCCAGCCAGATGTCTGCGCCGTGGCTCCATCCCAGCTCCCTTTCATACTAACTATCCTGTCCCTGCTTTCATCTGCTGTTCAAATATGGTGTTAGGGAGGCATGAACTCATTCGCCTGCACGGGATATATGCAGGATATATGCAAGATCGCAGAAAATATGACAAGAGACGTGCAGAAAATGACACTGGAGTTAGCCGGTTTCCGAAAAACTCATCACAGGGGTTGGCAACGTCTTTGTCGGGACTCAAAATTCCTGCTGACACCCCTGCAGAGAATATATTAACAGCTTTATTAAGGGAGGGACTCAGTACTAATAAAGAGCACTTTTAATTTCAGCCCACCTGCGTAGTTGTGGCAGTGATTAAGTATCCGCCTCAGATGCTTTGTTGCCTCCCCAAAATATAAACCTTTCTGACATAAATTCATAGCATGCAATCATTATGACTCATGGGTTAGTCAAGGCTGACTTTCTGGGATCATTAATTTCACCACATTGTCAGCCAAAAACAGAAAACAGAAAGAAAAAAGAAGCAGAAGGGTCTTCAGTATTTCCTCGCAAAGAAGATGGAGGAGGCTCCGATCCTCAGGAAGAAAATGAACTGTAAAGGAGTTTACAGAGAAACAGAGACAGAAAACGGTTACCACATGGAGAAAGATAATAAAAATGTGAAATGCATGGCTTATTATGGGAATGTGAGTGTGGGCAAAATGCTCCCAGATGCCATATCAGAACCATAAAGTGGAATTAATGATGTACAGTATAACTTCACCATAAATGTTTTATGTGCCTCTCTTCTTTGCTTCCTTCTAGGCTATTTTTTCTTTAATAAGCCATTAAGAAGCTGCTTAAGAACTAGAAAACTCATTACTATAATCAAACTAACAACACCTCCTTAGTATAAGCTCACAAGTTGTTTCAGTACAGTTCAAATGCTAACATTGTTAGTGCTATTTGAAATCCGCAGATTCCATCTGTACCGAAGCTGCAGTCCTAATGAGCTTTAATTGCTTTGCTTCTTTTTAATTTGTGGACTGGGAAAGGAGGAGCTGTAACCTTTCTATATATCAGCTGGGAACACATTTTAACATCTTAAGCTGCAAGCATCTCTGCTGGTATGCAGCCTCTGCAATTGCACCTGAAATTACAAAAGTAAATAAAAGGAATCAACCACAAAATATGTTGGTGTTTATTGTTTGAATCAGATCAGACTTATAGGAGGAACGCTAAACCTGCTGCTCTTCACTGGTTTTGGATGGATTGGGGGGGGGAGAGAGAGAGAGAGAGAGAGAGAGAGAGAGATGGGTTCCTCGGCCACGTGGCTGCAACTGAAGCTTGTCCAGTGCTTCAACAAGCATGTGCACAGCACATGTAAAACACCAAAAAAAAAATTGTACCTTGAAGGTGGTTAACTTTCACAGAGCTGAACCTGAACCAGTGGTGATTCCACAGTCTGCTGGGGCCCAGGGCACATACTAACAGGGGACCCCTCCAAACTCCGACTTTATCGTCTTTATGTTAGAAATGTTTAAATAAATAAATATCAATTTTTTTGACTGAACTGAAACGAAAAAAGAAACATGGATAACAACATAAGGAGGAGTCTTTGGAGTAGAGTGCACTTACGATATAATACATTAAATGTGGAACAATACTGTGGCATTATCAGCCTTTGGAGTAAGCACTTTATCTTTCTCTTTTGCTACTGGTGCCAGAAAAATAAGTCAGTGATATAGTAAGGGATATAGTATAAGGTACTCATAACAACATGTTAATAACATTAAAACGTTTTACAGAATTCCTCAAATTCAACTTCTGAACGGTCTTCTTGGGTGTTTACCATCTGCCCATTTATCCACTTCTTCTGCCACTTATTTAAGTCTAGCTTGTGAGTGTGGCAGTCTAAGCAAAAAGGTCCTCCTTCTCCCCAGCCACCTCCTTCAGCTTTTCCAAGGGGACATTGAAGAGTTCCCAAGCCAGCTAAGAGATTTAATCTCTCCATGTCCTGGGTCCTGTGGCCTCCTTCTCATGCGACATGGCCAGGACGACTTGCCTAGGAGGTGTTCAAGTTAAATTATATCTCAACTCCCTCGACTGACTCCTTTCAGTGTGGAAGGATAGCAGCTCTACGTTGAGCTCCTGCCTACAGACAGCATTCAATCTATAGTGTTTACTGTTTTCTTTTGATAGCTGCGATGTAATAGTTCCAATACAGATGATTAAACTAATGTGCACTGTGGCTGCACTGTCCATTTAGAGTTTTACATGATGAAAAAAAATACAGATTTTAGCACCATGAAACCACAAAGTCTGCATTAACAATACAGAAAATACAATAAGTGCACCAGACTGCACATCCAGCACAATAATGTACAGTTCAGTACAACTTAGCGTAACTTCTAGTGCCCCGTCCAAATTTCTTTGAATCTAAATTTCATAACTTTCCTCAGTTAATTATAAAAATGTGTTGTCTGCTGGGCCAAGGGCCCCCAGCAGTTGCCTACCTTGCCTGGTGGCCTCTGGTTTGGACTCACAGTAAGCTTCGCTTTGCAGGAACAAGCTCGACAGTTTGGCTTCAACTGACTAACGGGAAACATAACATAAACATCCTTAAACAATCAAGACTTGAAGACTTGACTTGAAGCAGAATATTATGTGCTGTCTTTTCTTCTCTAAATTAAAGTTTGTAGTTTCAAATAACGAGGTCACCATATGTGCAAGTTAATCCCTTCAAAGGCTTCAGTGAGTTGTAAACACTCAGTTTCAGATGGTTGTTTTCTACTCCCAGATCTATACGATGTCATCTCAGCCACACATCAACCATCCCTAGTTTAAGACTGTGTGGCGGCAGAAGTCACTGGGACGTTTGTATCATGAAGGACATGTGTAACTGCACTCTGCAGGAGGCAGCCAACCGTAAGTGGGAGGGTCCTTTCACACCATTGCACTGGCTCACATTAACTTCAGGACACATTTTCAGATTCTGGTTGTGACTTTTACATCCATACACCCCAGCACGTCCCTGAGGTCATGTGACCAGAGCCTGCTGATGCTCAGAACTAAAGACTCCCACACTCTGGAGCTCTCTCGCTCGGAACTTCAGCTCCGTGGACTCAGTGACCTATGAGCTCAGAACTAATCTTTTTAAACTTCTCGCTCATATGTTTTTGGCATTTTGGTTGTGAAGAATTTTGAGATATTTTTTTTGAAAGATGCTATATAAATTAAATCTTACTCCATTTACTTTAAAATTACTTGTTTCAGACAGTATACATTTATCAGGTCACAGTTCGAGAAAAATAAGCACTACTTACGAACTCTGATTAGTACATCGCTACACTATTTAACTGCCTGGATAACACTGGTCTGGTAATGCTAGTAAACAGAATAGATTCCCTTCAAACTTAAGTTAGCAAATGTTTTAAAGTAAGATTTTAGTAAAACACATTCAATACACTTCACATTTACAGTGCTGCTCCCTTATTTCAGTCTTTGAATATTGGTCACACTTGCATGTTTCAGATCATCAAAGACATTTAAAGGTTAGATAACCTGAGTGAATACTAAGTGCAGTTTTTAAATGATAAGTTCATTTGTTGAGGGGACACAGTTATCCAGACCTACCTGTGAAAAAGCAACTGTCCCCTAAACTCAATAACTAACTGTGCCACTCTTGGCAGCAAGAACGGCAGTCAAGTGTTTGTGATAACTGGTAATGAGTCTTTTGCATCACTGCTGTGGAACTTTGTCCCACTCTTCTTTGGAGAATTGATTTAGCCACATGCCAAAGCATCTCAATCAGACTTAAGTCTGGACTGATTAGGCCACTCCAAAGCCTTAATTTCATTTTTTGAGGCATGCAGAGGTGGATTTGCTGGTGTGTTTTGGTTGATTGTCCTGCTTCATAATCCAAGTGTCCCTGGAGCAGAATTCATGGTTCCATCAATTACAGCAGGTCGTCCTGAAGCAGCAAAGCAACCCCAGACCACCACACTACCACCACCACGTTTGACTGTTGGTATGATGATCTTTTTATGAAATTCTGTTAGTTTATGTCGGATGTGAGCCGAGCCTTTGTGATCTTTTTGGTCAGCAGTGGTTTTCTACTTGAAATCTGAACTTAACTGAGACAAGTGAGGCCTGCAATTCTTTAGATGTTGTTCTGGGTTCCTACGTGGCCTACTAACGATGAGTCGTTGATGCGCTCTCGGAGTAATTTCTGTAGGATGCATGTCTCAAAGCCTTAGAAATTACTTTGCAACCCTTTCCAGACTCATAGCTGTCAATGTCTTTGCTGTTTCTTTAGATTGTGGCACGATGTGTTGCTTTTTGAGATCTTTTAGCCTGCTTCACTTATCAGACCGGTTCTATTAGGTGATTTCTTCATTCAGCAAGTTTGGCAGTAATCACACCTTGGTGTGGCTACAAAAAATGAACTTCACTTCCAAACACATCACTTTCTTTAGTCACGTATATGCATGATTGGCATCACATTGATATAAAAATAAAACACAGTCTTCTGCATAAACCTGTTATGAAAAAAAAAGCACAGAAATAAATAAATTACTAATGACCTAATTAGTAGACCTAAATTAACTGCTGACCTTTGCGGTAACTGATATGTACAGTTTCCCATTACAGTGGTTACATATGAACACAGCTGTAGACGTTCTGTCTTACAGCTTTAACCGATGTACAAACTAAATAAACAAGGATTCAGTTGAGATAATGTTTATCCATCACATTTACTGAATGATGACAGTGCCTGATGTCAAAACAGATTTTTCTCCCTGCCCTTGATAAATGCTCTGAAAACAAACCAATCAACCAAACCCGAATTACAAATTAAAATAAACATCTTTTTCAAAATGTTTAAACACGAGAAGTGCTACTGTTCACCGAACGTCTGAAACATCACAAGACCTTAATTAGGTGAAAACTGCGTGCAAATTCTTTGACGACAATGTCTTGAACCTTGGCCTTTCAGAGGCTCCCCCAGCCTCGTGTTGACCGCGTGATGCAAAGCACCCTAAGACGATGAGAGAGAGAGAGAAAAAAAAACTGACAAAGGCGGTTGACATATTCTAGGCTCAGCCTCTTGCATTACTTCCCTACAAATCCTAAGACAGAACATTTGTTTCACTCCCTTGACTTAATGCTTGTAACTCCAAACCTTCCCCCAAAATCTGCTCCATATTAGCTTGATGCTACAGACGATCAAAGAACAGCATGTGATGCATTAAGGTGCATTTCATTAGGACAACACAGCATCAACAAAAGAAACAAGGCACACTCCATTCCAGCTGTAGAAAAGTTCAGTGGGATGGTATCTGGAGGAAACATTATGCAACCAGTGCTTTTACAGGCTTGTGTGCCACATGAATGAGTGCAATCATTTCCAAGTTCCTGGCTTAAAGCAACAAGCGTAATGGGACCAGACTGAGTGCAGAGTGCGTAGAGAGAAAACAAAGACACACTCGGTCATGCTCACCAAACTTTACCCGGCACCATACAACTTTATAACTTTTTCTCTCTTTGCACCCCTCCACACACACACACACACACACACACACACACACACACACACACACACACACACTACGCCGCTTTGTCTTGCAGACTTGTGTGCAGTTTTACTCCAAACATGGCCTCCCACTGTGTTTTGACCCAGGCCAGCAGACCCTGGAGGAGCTCGCCACTCTCTGAGCGCACACACCACGTCCTCTCCTGTTTCACAGTCTGCAGGAAACACACACGGGAAAGTATGAAAATTAAAGCAGTTAATCACATGCGAGTTAAACTTGGCAGGGCCACAATCTATAACATGCTGCTGCACAAACAGAAGGAGAACGGCAGCAGAACTTTGTTATCAGATCTGATGTTGTCAAAGTAGCAAACATTAGAAAACAGCACTGCATTTTAGCCACTTACTGAACAGCAGTATGGTTAATTCACCGGTACGTACTCTGTTGGTAACAATAAACGTCAAACACAATGAGATTGTGTTCATCTTCAGTGAAAGTCTTGTGCGTGATATGGTCGTCACAAAATACTGGGATGGATGATATCTGTGGCATTTAATAAGTCCTCCACATAGACTTAAATGTATAATGGTTCTTTTTTATGCTTTTCTACGATTAATATTTATTTATCTCCACATCCCTACACTTACACTGAGTGTAATTTGTTTATAAATAATAATAATAAAAAACAAATAAGGGCAAAGACTAAAGTAAGCACATGAACAATTAAACAGTGACTGATGTTTTTTACAGGTATTTTTACCACTATAGTAAAAAATAAATAAATAAAGATTTCAATTTTCACATGTAGTAATTAAACTTTGGTGGCCTTTTATGTAACACAGATACAACTCTGATTAAAGTCAGAAACTGCATAAAAAAAGTTGGTTAAGTGGTGGGTTGCAAAGTGGCTTGCAGTGGTAATAGGCTACATAATAGATCCTGATATTTCGGGATTTAAAAATCTGATATATTGCCCAATGGTTGTTTTTCTTAAACAAACAAACAAACAAACAAAACACATCCATCACGCCGCTTTGCCTTACTGACTTGTGTGCAGTTCTACTCTGAACATGACCTTCAACGACCTTTCTCCCATCTCTTTTTTAATTTTTAAAATTCAATAATGTTGAAGTCCAGGCTCTGGGGAAGCCAATCCATGACAAAATCTCCAACACCACTGACTGCAATGCAGCTCAAACCATGACAGAGCCTCCAACATGTTACACAGATGCCTGCAGACACTCACTGTTTTACTTCTCTCCAGACCACTTCAGGAAATACTGATGATGATTTGAACAAAAAGCGTAAAATTTGCATCCATCACTTCATCAGACCCGTTGCCACTGATGTTCGGTCTAGTTCTTGTGTACTTTGGCGTACGTCGGACTTCTCTCCCCATTTCCCTTCCTTACAAACTGCTACTTCATAGACGTCTTTAACAAATTACAAGACAGTTTACAGCTCATTGGAAGCAAAATATAAGGAAACAAAGGTTGGCCCAGGATTTCTGCACAGTACTTTATGTCAAACCCCAATTTGACATAAAGTACCTGAGGGAACCTTCCAGATCCCTCAGGTCATCTGGATCCGGTCTTTTATCAGTTCCCAGAGTCAGAACCAGACACGGAGAAGCTGCATTCAGCTTTTATGCTCCTTATATCTGGAACAAACTCCCAGAAAGCCTCAGATCAGCTGAAACACTCAGTTTATTTAAATCCAGGTTGAAGACTCACCTGTTCTCAGCTGCATTTGAATAAAGCACCAAATCCACACTTTTAAGCTTAAATTTCAAAACTTACATTTAACTACTGATTTTATCTACTGTTCTGATTTTATCTGTTTTGATTTTATATACTGTTTTGTTTGTTTGTTAATTAGTTTGTTTGTTTTCTTGTTTTAATCAATTTTAAATCATGCTTTTTATTTGTTTTTTGTTTCTAATGTCTCTGTAAAGCACTTTGAATCACCTTGTTGTTGAATTGTGCTATACAAATAAACTTGCCTTGCCTTGCCTTTAATGTAAACTGAGTGATAACATCTACCTGTTTAAGTATATCTTTACTTTATCTCCATGTCCAATGAAAATTAATTTCCATTGCTTCTACATACTGCTGTAAGAGTTTCAACTTTGCCTCATAATCACTGACACAACCGCAGATTGCAGGTCTCATTTGTGCAGCATGAAAATATTTCTTAAGGTCTGGCAATGCCATATCTCATTTATGTTTTCCTAGCTGTTTTCAGATTTGATTCTCAGCCTTTGACCAGCCCGTATGAACTTGGAGAAAACTTTATCCCCGGTTCTAAATCCCACAACGTTTTCTGACTTTATATTTCACTGTTGGAACACAACAAAATTTTTCCACAGTCAGACAGGCCTGCCAAAGTACCCGAAACAGACAGACGCACACACCCACACATGCGATCACAAGATTAAATCAATACTAACTTTGCAATTGTAGTTGATAATAAAGACGAAGGAATGACACAAACATCCCCAACCGCCACGGCCAATTTAAAACCTCGAAATACTTCATATGCAAATACGCGACTGTTTTTGTAAGTCATTTTTGTTACCTATTTGTTGCTTTATCAGCCTGTTATTATTATACAGTTTAGGATCTGCCAAAACACCAACGAGCCATTCATTTGTTTCCCTGAATCTGTATGCGAGTTTCATATGAGGAAAAACTAAATGTATGCCAGAACATGTTCCTGTGAACTACAATTTCTGCCAAGATACATAACTAATAGAGTGGTATTACATTCATTACTGCTTTCTACCAAAGAGTGTTTGCATTTTCTCATGCCTAATTATTCCTCATCTCCCCGGTGTTTTTAATCAGCTGCATGCAAAAGAAACAAAAAAGGAAGCTTGTCTGGAATCAAACCAAAGATATATTTATTCTTCATTTCTGTGTAGTTTTGAGTGGCAGCTGTCTTCATGACAAGAAGCAGAAGCACATAAAGTTACTATAAGACTTTCTCATGACATTTCTGGGCTTTGTTTAAACTTCTGAGATCACACGCACCTCATCGTAAAGCTTTATATCCATCCTGCACTGGTCCACAGGCCACAGGAGAACTGAGCTCACACAGCTGATTGGCAGAGTTTCTAACACAGTGACGCTCCCGCTGCACGGTTCTTTGTTTTCATTCGCCGACGGGCTGTTTTTCCTCCACTGGTGATCCTCTCTGAGCAGATAGAGGGTTTCTCTAGTCGCCAGAACCGTCAACGGCATCCAGATATCCTCTGAAAGAAAGCCAGAAAAGTTTCACGTTTTTTAAATAACTCCAAAAGTGCCATTATAACATATTCACACAGAGCTAAATCATATCTTAAGTCATCTCAGGTCATTCTATAAAGAACTGCAGTATTTTCTCCCTCGAGCAAGAGCAACACATTTAAACTTTACTGTTTTGAGCTTTGAGATTTTAACCTCTGATCTTGTCATATAAGCTGCCTTTAGAGGTCACTGATGTTAAAAGCTTTACAAAGTACTTTTGAACTACAAAGAAAAGTTATGGTGTTACATTTCATGCCAGAAAGCTGCATCTTCTGTGGGACACGTGGAGGAAGAAAAAAAAAAAAAAAAACAGAGAGAAGTCAGATCCAGACATGTTAAAATTATAGTACTTGAAATTCCAGAGACCTACACAGCTCTGTGCAGCCTGCAGCTACCCCTGCTTTAAATGTGCCTGCTTTAGCAGAGCCAGTTAGGAGTCCTGCAGGGTCAGTATCTACCAAACTCACGCCAAAGCAGTCACCTGCCATCGCTGAGTAAAAACAAAAGATGTCTGCCTCATTTAAGGGCACAGGTTTGATTGTCGATAGGCATCTCACGTCAGCTACTCCCCACGGGTGTGGGGGTTGGGGGGGTTTGAGGTGGGGGGCTCTTCCTGCCATAATCTACTTTTATCTTCAAGGAAATAAAACCTTGTTGCCATTTCATTTGTAATTCTCCCCTTTAGCACATTATCCTGGCATTTATTCCTGCAGTAATTCTGGGGGTGCAGAAGTAGCGTCAGGGATTTAATTGGGCCAAGATTCCTTACTTCTGGCTAAAACCAACAGTTAGGATTTAGCTTTTTCTCCAGCTTGTAAACTAAATTACCTCAATACAAAAACCTCACGACAAACAACACTAACATAAAGAGATACACTCACCAGCCACTTTATTAGATAAACCTGTTCAACTCCTCATTAACACAAACATCTAATCAGCCAATCACATGGCAGCAACTGAGTGTATTTAACCATGAAGAAATGGTCAAGACGGCCGCCGCAGTTCAAACTGAGCAGAACTGTCAGATCACCTTTTTCAGCAGAATGGTCAAAAGGTGATTTAAGTGACTTTGAACGTGTCTTGGTTCTTGGTGCCAGACAGGCTGGTCTGAGTATTTCAGAAACTTCTGCTCTGCTGGGATTTTCCCATACAACCGTGTCTAAGGTTTACAGAGAATGGTCTGAAAAAGAGAAAATGCCTAGTGAGCAGCAGTTCTGTGGGTGAAAGTGCCTTGTTAATGCCAGAGGAGAATAGCCAAACTGTTTCAAGCTGCTAGGAAGGCAATAGTAACTCGAATAACTACTACTTGTTACAACCAACGTATGCAGAAGAGCATACCTTGAAGCAGATGGGCTAAAGCAGCAGAAGACCACACCCATTATGGTCTCCTGCTCCTGAAGACCATAATGGGTGTGGTCTCCTGCCATCAGCTAGAACAGGAAACTGAGGCAACAATTCGCAGACTCACCAAAATTGGTCAATTCAACACTGGAAAAATGTTGCCTGGTTTGATGAGTGTCGATTTCTACAGCGATACTGAAATGGTAGGGTGAGAATTTGGAGTAAGCATGCACGGAATCGTCCTGCCTCGTATCGACTATTCAGGCTCGTGGTGGTGTGGAGGATATTTTCTTGGTACACTTTGACCACCTAGTACCAAATGAAGATTGTTAAAACACCTTACCCTGCCTGAGTATTGTTGCTGACCATGTCCATCCCTTTATGACCACAGTGTACCATCTTCTGATGGCTGCTTCCAGCAGGATAACACACCATGAAACCTCAAACTGGTTTCTTTAACATGACAATGAATTCGCTCTACTCAAATGGTCAGTCACCAGATCTCAATACGATCGAGCACCTTTTGGATGTGTTGGCAGTGAGAGAATGTTCCCTGGAACACTCTCTCACAGTCTGTTCTCTAAAACCTAAAAGAGAATTATGGATTTGATCAACTGGTCTCTGAATGCAATTGACACCCCTTCTCAACGAGAAGTCTGGGCTCGGGTGAGCCTGACTGCTGAAGATATCTACCTATTCGGAACCATGATAACAGGGTTCCTGCTGATCGGAGCTGGCTTGGCCCTGGCTTATCGAAGAATTAAGGAAGCGGAACCGGATGTTCAAACCCCCACAAGGCTGCCCGCTGGGATTGAAATGATGGGACGAGGCGTGAGTTTCTCAAAATGGGCTCATTGAGTGCAGCATGGAGAAGGTCTTGGAGAACGCACGGCTGCTGTGAATACTCAGAACAAGACCTCTGAGTGAAAAACTGGATTACCGGTACATTTGGAGGGGCTCGCTCGAATAACACCTTTGAGCGCAAATTGGATCAAATCTTGGGGAAGTGCATTGCAGTCGTGAGTTCTCAGGACCTGCTCTTTGAGCAAAAAGAATGACAACATCATGGAACGTAAGTTTGGATAACATCATAGAAAGCTCACGGCTCTCCAACGGGAGATTGAGAGACCAGTGTTGGACTGTTAGAGCAGCTTAGAAATTCATATGACCTGTTCGCACTAAAGTAAAAAGCACCATCACTTCATGCGGAGACCCTCTCGGTGCCAGCTGCGGTCGCAAGGCTGGAGCCGATCAAAAACACCCTGATAACGACTGTGTTTAGTCTGTTCCTTCCCATTCCATGCAAGGCCACCTGGGTTGGCTGGAAGACTGTTTACTTAGCCTAGCAGGGCGAAGGACACTGTCTCAGCTGAACTCTGGGCACGCACACACATACATATACACTGATATGCACACACTCATCCCCCCTCCCTTTCCAAACGCCTTCGACGCTTATTCCCTTTCAATGCTGACAGTGGATCAAGGAGACCAGCGCATGCAGGCCGGGATGTACTGTCTAAATCGGCTGTCTCTCACCCCTTTACCCACCCCTGTTGCTTGTCATGTGTTTCTTTGCTGTATTAAGATTTTTTCATGTGCAGAGGTGTTTTTTTTTCTGTTCTCAAACTGATCTCCCTGTTGGAGCTCAGTCTGGGGGGAGTTATTTTTTTCTCCTCATCTTTCCTCGTGTGGTGCATTTTCCATTGTTATACCTCTCTGACCTGTCTTCCCCATGTGATGTTTTGTGTCATGTATGAATGGTCGGAGGGTAAGATGGCGCCGCCATTGCGTGCAATAGGTCGGCAGCCTTATGAAATTTCCCCTTGTGGGACTAATAAAGGTATATCAAAATCAAATCAAATCAAACTGTCTAAAGCTATCATGTCAATATGGGCCAAAATCTCTGAGGAATTTTCCAGCTTGTTGAATCTATGCCATGATGAGTTAAAGCAGCGCTGAAGATAAAGGAGGGTCTAACTAGGTACTAGCAAGGTACCTAGTTATCTAGTGATAACTGATAGAAATCTAGAACGGAAGCAAACTCTGTGAGATAAAAAGAAACAAACAGAAAAATAGAGTAATAAAAACTCAAGTCAGCAAAAAAACAACAACTTATGAACAAGTGGATGTGTCACCTTGTAGGACAAAAGCCAGAACATAGAAGAACTGCAGCTGTCCGTCCTCCACATCTGCCTGGATGTCTTCGCACACTAAAGGCCTGACAGATCAGACAAAGTCCAGTGTTAACATGACATACAAACACAAACAAAAATCTCCTTCAGTTAAAGATACAATGGCATAAACACCGATTTGTATAAAATAACAGGGCGGTTTGGAGCCTTGTGGCTGATAGGTGTGAGATTGAAGGGCTTCAACATCCCAGCGTAAAGTTTACAGTGACTCTGAAGCAAAGGGGATAATTAACATAATGACAGCTGACAGGAGTAGTGTTGTGCAAACACTGGAAGTGAGACTGTGGTTTGCTGCCTCAGAACACATGAAGGTTTGTTTGTATTTTTTGATTTTGTGTTGTGAAGCCTGGAGGAAAAATGACAAATTGGGAGATTTAAGGCCTTATTGTGTTGGCACCTGAATGAATTTGCTAATCTACTTAACAGGCACTTAACAGGCTTGGTTTCTGTCACTGTCAATGTATTTTTTTAAGCTAAAGAGAAAAGAAAGTATTTATTTATGTTCTCTAACTTGGAAAAAAAAAAAATTCTTCCAGGATGTCTAAACTGCCTCATATACTTACACAGTTTGTGTGTATGATTGAAAAGTTGGATTATTCACAGCACGTGTTTTTTTTTTTTGCAGGTTTATGGGATGTTTTTTTTTTGTTTTGCATGTTTCTTCCCTGAAATCATACTTTCATGAGCTAAACCACATTCCTTTTCAGTGAGCACCCAGGAAAAGCGTCTATCTTCTGAGTGAGAAAGGAAAACATACAAATAAAGGTGCAGAAACACTACTGGCACTGTTAACAAACTACACGGGGGACATGCATGCTCTAGGACTTGCAGAGCAAAACACATGTTACAAATTAAGATGTGGTTTACCAGCTAATTTAGTGGAGCCATTTTACAAAATGGAGTCTAAAAAAAGCTGATTGTAATCAACTAAAGATGTGTCAGAAATGTGCAGCGTTAGAACTTCTACTGCCGTAACTCCCTTTAACCTACACGGCCCAACCACATACAAATGTGCATAACACTATTCAGACCACATCTTTCAGCATCTACGCAAATAAAATCAAAGACGCCTGCTGTTTTCTCACTGCATCCAGCGGGTCCTCCCTCAGCAAAAGTAGGCGTGCAGATGCAGTGTGGGTGCGTACCAGAGATGGTGCTCAGGGGTGAGCCTTGTGGTGGAGATCGACTTCAGCTTGCTCTCTGATTTGTGAGCCATCTCACGCACAACTCCTGAAGAAACGGCAAGAAAACAGTTAGTAGTGGTCAAAGAATTACCCGTGAATATTCCCTCTCACCCAGGTTTTTACTAGAGTTGGCTTGCATGATTCACTGTTAATTATTTTATGCTGCATCTTGGTGAGCTCCCTCAGTTCATCCTACCTGAAACAAGCCATTTTAGCACTTCTCCCTTTAACTCTTTAGCCCCCGAAAGCCTCCTAAGAGTAACCCTTGAAGCTCTTTTATGAACAGTTGTTTCAGTTATTTCAGACCTCCTCATAGAACAGAATTACTGGGTGTGCCTGAGAAGATAGTGAGGGTGGTCTCTGCCTATGCAGCCATCCTTGGATAAGTCCACATGCTATTCCAACAGTCATCAAACCACATGTTTATTGTTATATACTGAGGTGTTAAAACTTGTCATTAAGGGTACAGGGGCAGGTTGCCAAATATCATCTTTATGTGGGAAAGTTAAAACCTTTCAATAGTTCTGCATTTGTTCAGGTATTTGAATATGCAGAGCTTAGGCAGAGGGGTATGCAACCTACGCAAATGTGGTTATATGCGGTGTTCCAAAAAAAACCCCAAAGCATGTAGCTTAGTATCGATGATGCTATGCATGGGTACATGCTTATTGGTTGGAAGGCAACAGGATGAAAAGAACGGATGAAAGGGAGTTCACCATGAATGGGAGAAGCATGAAAAAACACCAAAGATTACAAAAAAATTGCATGAGAAGCATCAAGAGTGGCCGCAGTCATTTCATTGTTTTTAGCATTCAGTTTCACTTCATTTCAAATGTATTTAAATAGAAACAAACAACAACAGTCACCTCAAGGTGCTTTATCTTGGGAAGTAAAGACCCTACAAAACAGAGAAAACCCCCAACAATCAGATGAACCTTGCGAGGAAGCACTTTGCGACAGTGTGAAGGAGAAACTCCTCTTTACCAGGAAGAAACCTACGGCAGAACCAGGGTCAGGGAGGGGCGGCCATTTGTGTGCTCCCTCTGTGACTGACCAACAAAAGTACAAACTGAGGTTTTTTCAGCATTCTGAATATGTAATCTGTTAAGATTTGGGTTTATATTTGTGGAAATTTTTAAGATGTCAATTTTCATTGTGGGATATGATGCATTAGGGTCATTTTAGGTGACATTTGCAAAATAATTCCAGAGGTGGAAGAGCTCTAGTATTCCAAAAGAAACCACAGAATTTCTGAGATGAAACTTCCACATATAAAGCGTGTCACTCAGTGTCCATCGATGTATCGCAGAGTTCATCATTAATGGACAATCCAGGCCCCAGTTGCCTAGATAATCCTCTAATTTATTGATAGGTCAATATTGACAGTATCCTTTGTTCGCACTGGTAGTTGCTTCATTTGGTTATCTTAAGTTTCAGGAGGTGTATTTGTCATTTGTCTGACATGTTCCATTTAGCACATTAAGAAATATCCAACCACCAAAAATTCAAAAATGGTTCCAATACTCAAAAAATGTAATGAAGGTTGAATGAAGATTAAGAGTCTGAAACCTCAACCTTCCCAATCAAAAATCTATTAGTTCACCGCTGAAATTTACTTAAAATTTCTTAGATTCCTTCTGAACATGACATGTGACCATTTCAGCAGTTTACAGCTGGCTGGTTTACAGCTTGTTGAATCAGCTGAGAGGGTAGCACTCCTCTGTTCTCACTTTCCTGAGGCATTTTAGATGAAGTTGACAGATTTGGGGGTTTAGGAACATTTAACAGGAGAAAGCAATCAGGTGAAAGGATACAAATATTACTTCTAAACTTGTAAACGTGTACTATCCTAGAAATGTCACACCCAAACTTTCATGGAAAGAAGTCTAAAGACAAAAGTGGAACCCAAGCCGAAACTTCTTCTGGTAACTGTCATAAGGTGCAGGTGTTAAATATCAGCACCATTGAATCAGTGGTTGAGAAAATGCTGGGAACACAATCTGCCGGGTCACGCCAACAGTTGTGAATTGTGGCGTATCATTGAGTGTGACTACAACAAAGGGAAGAAATGATAACTGGGGTCAAGTTTGAATAGATGAGATTTCAAAGATTTAAAGAGACACTGAGGAGGAGACAGAAAGAAAGGACAAGGCTCAGTTACAGCCGAAGGAACATAAAATGAGGGCAAAACATGCTTTCCTTTATTAAAAATGTGAAAATCAGAAAAAAAAAGTCTTATCTAATTTTCACCTATGTTACAAAATGACACCGTATCCCCAAAAGTTCATCGACAGTTTGGTTCCTTAATTTAATAAAATGATTCTAAAAATATACACCAGCTTCTAAAAGGTGTGTATCAATCTATAATGTTTGTTGTAATGAAATGTTTATTCATACTGACATTTCAGTAACCATGAAGAAAGATTTAGGGTTCAGAAACCAGTCGTGACATTGGCCACACACACAGTTTTTACATTCCTGATAAATTTCAAAGTTAAACAATCATTTTGAACTAATCAGTGCTTATAAACACATAATTCACCTCTCAGGATTAAGTGCCACAAAATTAGATCAGCATTTTATTTTTTGTTCTCATATATTTGTAACCACTACCTTTTTTTTAATCCAAAAGTTAGTGGTTACCACTTTGCACGAGAACCCATTTTCATTTCTTAAAAAAAATTAAAAAAAAAATAAGAAAAGAAAAATCATATTTTGTCATTAAATCTAATTGTCGAATTGTTTAAAATCTTGTGGTTTATCAAACTCCGTTGCCTTTGGATAAAAAAGGTAAGGTTCTTGCCCCGCTTTGTGTCACGTGTCTGATGTTTTTCAAGACTGTGCATAGTTTTATTCATATTCATTTATTTTAATAATTTCCTTAAAAAAAAGTTTCAAAATATTTTGGACAAAACTGACAGATGGCTCAGTTGCTTTCACGAAAATCTGCACTGGCCCCGGGTCAAAGTTTCCCCACACTCCTGGCAGTGTTTAGCATGTCTGAGGGGAAGCAGTGAGCGTTAAGACTAACAACGAGATTAAATAACGTGTTAACGTGGACAGTTTAGCAAGGTGCCATCCAAGACCGCAATCAGGAGTAAGTAAAGGTGACAAGCAGAGCGTGTTAAGAACCAAATCTGAAACAAACAGACTTTCACTAGAGCTCTGCTCTGTGTCAATATTGCTGTGTGGCTGCTTCCAACAACAACACCCCTGATCATTTTCACATGATATCAAATACCAAACCACTGTCTGATACGTTAGACACCCGGGACAGGAAATGGGTAAAGATTTGATTTTCTAATTCCAGTTTCCAAAGCAACATCTCTCTCTGTTGATACCGACAACTCGCACCAAATCTTCTACAACACGGTTTGATTGCAACAGTGAACATTAATAGAGTCCTTCAAGCATGAGAAAAGACCTGGCAGACCCCCCCACCCAAAAAAAACACCCCAAAAAACACTGGGCCGTAGATTCCAGAGGTCTTGTGTTATCTCTCCTGTTTCAATAAAGCTGTGTCAGACTAGGTTGGAGAAAGAAGCTCTAAGCTCCAGAAAACTGTCCCTGTTATAACCACATCCTTCCTCTGTCTTCCAGGCAGCGAGTCCATCGTCATTCCAGTTGTGGTTTCGAAAAAACTTTGTCCACATGAAAGGAGCCAGCTTGGACAACAGTCAGACTTTGTTATGGTTAAGCTTTTCCGTATTTCTCCTGACAAAATATTGCAACAGCTGTTTTCGGGGTTAATTTGGCAGTGGCATCAGAGAGTTTGTCATATTAGCCACTTTGTTTTCAGGACAGAAATAAGTACAGCCTTCGTATAATTCACATGTAGGTGTCTAAAGCAATGAGAAACATCGGGATTCATTTGTCTTCTGAGCACCTGGAAGGATACAAAAAGATCTTATTTGTGGGTTGTTGTTTTTTTTTCTCTACTCCGTCTGCTTTGTTTTGGAGACATTCTGGTCTTGCTGAAAGCAATCTGGAATTATTTTCACCCACAAAGAATACAACGCAGTAAATGAGCGGTTTATGGACTTAAAAAGAAAATGCTGTTAGTGGAGAGACAAAACTTCAAGGAAGAGGGAGAAGAAAGAAGCAAGTGGGATGTCTAAAATGTTCCTTGATCCTGGTCAGTGAGAGGATCAAATAAGTTCATAAATACTCTCATATATGTGGGTGAGGCTCGAATTTAGCTTTGGAAACATTCGTCAGACAAACATATTTAGATAATGAACTGCCTTTTTGTTTCAGTACATTACATTGAAATGTTTCTTCTGTTTTTTTGTTGTTGTATTTTTTACTGAAAGATGAAACCAGAGTGAAAATTATATTAAAATAATTTATCTTCAATGACCAACCACTAAATGCAACTCTTACAAAAGCGCGTTGGTAAATGAAACCAAATTGTGGTAGCGACTCTCAGCAGAGATTCAGGACTATTTTGGCTAAAATATATACCCACTACTGTGGCAGGAAGCCTTCAGAGAATTACTTGCAAAAGGGAAAATCTGCCCACTTTTGATAATTGGCAGTTGTTTCAGACCCTTTCTATAAGCGATGCGTGCAAAATGTCAATTTTTTTTAAAGGTTTTTGCCTTTTTAAACATTCCTTTGAAAAGGAAAAATAGAGCATTTATAAAAACAGATTACCCCTTCCTCTTAAAACAATATGTAAAAAGATTTGATATGATCTGAAATAATTACACTTGTAGCCTCAAAATTATGTTGCAATGTTTGTAAATAAGTAAATAAGTCAGCAAAACTCACTTCTCTCTGATGATAGCGATACTGAGGTGACATCTTGAGGATATCATGGACTTTTCTGTCAGTAAATGCCAGTGTTTTTGCCCCTGTGAGCTGCTGTAGGCCTATGTTAGCTGCTGTTAGTAAAACTTTGTTTTTGGATCTAACATTATTGGACTTGGACACTTAGTGAATAAACTCGATACTCGACAGACACTCCAGCCTAACATTAGGCAGGCTAACAATGAGCATATTTATGCATGTTTATGTGTTAGAGCCCTGAATTCAGTTCAAGAAATGAGGCTTGAGGTGAGAAGGAAACACGTGCCACATATTTGACCGGTCTCTAGCCACAGACATGCGGTAGATTACGTAGAACGGTGATGTCCATCTTGGCCACTATATTCAAGATGGTGGGACAGCTTTGCAGCTTCAACAAAGCAGCGCCTATAACCGTGTCAACCAGCTGGCAGCCAGTTGAGTTGTGCTCATTGACAAAGACTCATTCAGATTGATTGCAACATGTTGGCAATCTGTCTGTATTTATAAACTACACACCAATTATTTGAACTTGAACAATCTCTTTGAGAGTGATTGCAGTTAACAAAAGTGGTCGTCAGTGTTGAATACCCTCCAGCTCTGTGTAACCATTTAGTCACCACACGTGGTAATCGGTCACAGAATGTGAAAAAATTCAACACAATTAAAAGGCAGCCATCGGTTTTGTTTGTAGTTGTAAGGAGAATGCTGTCCTACTTTTACTTGTGACTGAGCCATTAGCTTGGTCTGAATTAGGAGGTAGCTTTGCTATGCTAACTGTATCCTGTCCCAGGTTGTTGTTCAGTTAAGACTTCTACGTGAACAGAAATCAAAACAAGTAAATAAACTGAGCAAGATCCTTAAAAAGTCCATATACAAAACACATCTCGTGCTTTTTTTTCCACATCCATCAGGCTTGATCTGTACAAACATCAGGGACCATCCCTCTCTGTGCTGTTTTAATTGTAATTTTTGTTCGCATGGGTTCAATATCAAAACGTTACATGTGCTAAAACTAAGCGTCGATCCTATTCCACACATGCCAAAATGTTTTTCTGTTTTTCTCCAAATGTTTAGGGGCTGGTAACTGTCAAATTGATTTTCCATATTTCTCCAGACATTCCAAAGCCCAGGAAGAAGTCCCTGTATAATAAAAGGTTTTCCTCTCAGCCTCTGGTCCTCTCAGTCAGACAAGTTGGTGTGGTGATGTGCTCAGTCTGTGGAAACCCAATACTGAGGGGGACGGGTAGAAATTTGCGTCACAAAGCACACATATGGTATAGTATTACTTTGTGGCGGCGAGTGGGTCTGTGACAGGGAACATGTTGTTCAAATGTCTGCCTCAGGGACGTAACACAGCCCTCCAACTTTTAAAATGAGGTTAACTGTGTTTAATCTTCCCTCACTGTGCCCTGAGGTTAATCCTGAACCCAGTGTAACCAGTAAACACAGCGAGAACGGGACAGTCACATTGTCTTTCTGACTATATTAACAAAATAAAAACTTCCATACAGTTTCCTTTTATTCTGTGGGGTTTCTTTTTTACCTGTTAAACGGCCAAAGAAGCGTTTGCACCGCACGCTGTCCCTCACGAGTAGCGTGTAGGCCACGCCCACATCTTCAAACTCCATGTGGATGCTCTGAGAGCCCAGCCCCACCTCCAGGTAGCTCAGCTCCATGATTGGGTAGCTGTCCCTTTTCTGCAGCCAATTGGTGAGCTGGCCTCTGCTGGGAGGAAACAACATGAGGCATCAGGAGGTAAAGAAAATGTCCTGCCTCGCTGACCTCGATTAAACAGTTTACGTGATGTCTGACACTTGTAATCCGTTTGTAAAAGTCAGAGTTTTGTTAGTACAAATCACATCAGTAACTTATGTAATGCCTCATTTTTCAGGGATTAGGACACCGGGTCAAATCCATATTAACAGTCTGGTTTCCGAGACAGTGCCAAGAACAAGAGAATTCAGCACCTGCAACATGCAGTACATAGCAACTTTTGACGTCACCTTGGAAGAGCATCAGAGGAAAAGCTGATGTGTGAGGGAAGTCGACCTATTATGGCCAACAAATTTCTCACAGAGGGGAGAAAAACAGAAAAGAGCCCAGGGACTGCAGAGGGACTGCAGACGCTTTGAGATCAATGTGTTTTCAAGATGTGACCTAGAAACAGGTTATTCTGCTCGGCAGGTTGTGCAATATTAACCAGATCCTAATCAGAGGGTGCTGAGTTTTTCACCACCATCACAAGACATAATTGTTATCTGCCACGTGGTTGCATGGAAAAGTCAGCTTTGAGGACGCTGCTTAAACTTGTCCTTAAGTGGCTTTGATTTAATCATCTTTTTATCTGTTTCGGTTTTATGGTCGGCATACCCCTGCTCTTGGGGAAAGTCTTCACACTTGATTCAACGTAAATCAATCACCGAGGCACTGGAGATACCACAAAGCTAGAAAAAGTGCTGAGATCGTTTTTGTCATTAAGGTCTACATAAAGTACTAAAATAAAACTGCAAAACTCATAGTATTGCCATCACAGTTCAAACAAGATACAATAAATGTAAGAAAGCAAACAAATATGCATCATACAGTGTCTTGAAAATGTACTTGCCCCGTCCTGATTTTTTGCTGCTTACCAAGCAAATTATAATATTAGACAACAATAATCCAAATAAGTACTAAATGCAGTTGGTAACTGACAGTTTCATTCATTAAAGGAAAAGAGTTATCCAAACCTACCTCGCTCTGTGTTACAAGCAATTGCCTTGCATTGTAAAATCATGAATAAAGTGGGATTCACCACATTTTTAGAAAGCTGAGTTCAGTTTCACTCCCCAATCTCAGGTCCGATTACTGACAGACCTGTTGAGTCAATAAATCACTTAAATAGAGCCTGTCTGTCAAGCGAAGTAGGTGAAATGATTTCAGAACCAACACGTGATGCCACAATCTAAAGAAAGAGCTGAGAAACAAAGTTACTGACATCTTTCAGTTTTTACAAAGCCATTTACAAGGCTTTGAGACTCCAGTGAGAACCATTATACACAAAAGGAGAAAACTTGGAACAGGCGTGAACCGTACCAGGAGTCACCAACCCCCAACAGCACATCAACGACTCATCCAGGAGGTCACCAAAGAACCAGAACAACATCTAAAGAACTGCAGGCCTCACTTGTTAAGGTCAGAGTTCATGATTCAACAATAAGACAAATACTGGGTAAAAATGGCATCCATGGGAGAGTTCAAGGAGAAAACCACTGCTGACCAAAAAGGTCACAAAGACAACGTCTCACATTTACCAAAAACATCTTGATGATTCCCAAGACTTTTGGAAAATATCCTGTGGACTCATGAGACAAAAGCTGCACTTTTTGGAAGGTCTGAGTCCCGTTACATCTGACATAAAACTAACAGCATTTCGTAAAATGGACATCATAGCAACAGTCCAGTCAAACATGGTGGTGGTAGTGTGACGGTCTGGGGCTGCTTTGCTCAAGTAAGGAAAATCCTGAAAGAGGATGACTATCAGTTCAGTTCCTGAAGCACCTCTGAATGACTCAAAAATTTTTTTTTAAAAATCCCAAAATGAGGATTTTAGGGTGGCCTAATCAAAGTTTGGATTCAAATCCTGAACTTAAGATGCTTTGGCATTGACCTTAAACAGCATGTCCAATGTGGCTGAATTGAAACAATTCTGCAAAGAAGAGAGGGCCAAAATTCCCCCACAGTGACGTGCCAGTTATTGCAAACTCTTGATTCCCCCCCAGGTCTAAATAGTTTTTTTCCCTTAAATGAAATCATCATTTACAAAGAGCATTTTGTATTTACTCAAGTTATATTTATATTATATAAATAAGACCATAAGACTTTGTGGACTGGTGCCAGCTGAACTACCTCCAGATCAACGCCAGTAAAACCAAGGAGCTGGTGGTAGACTTCCGCAGGCACAAGCATTCTCCACTGCAACCACTGAACATCCAAGGTATGGACATTGAGGCTGTGGACAGCTACAGGTACCTTGGTGTTCATCTGAACAATAGACTGGACTGGACTCATAACTCAGACGCCCTCTACAGGAAAGGGCAGAGCAGGCTGTACCTGCTGCGGAGACTCAGGTCGTTTGGAGTGGAGGGCCCACTCCTGAAGAAATTCTATGACTCTGTCGTGGCTTCTGCTATCTTTTATGGCGTGGTCTGCTGGGGCGGCAGCATCTCTGCTGGGGACAGGAAGAGACTGAACAGGGTGATCCGAAGGGCCAGCTCTGTTCTAGGATGCCCTCTGGACCCAGTGGAGGTGGTGAGTGACAGGAGAACGACGGCTAAGCTGTCATCCCTGATGGACAACATCTCCCACCCCATGCAGCAGACTGTGACAGCACTGAGCAGCTCCTTCAGTGGGAGACTGCGGCACCCACGGTGTGGGACGGAGAGATTTCGCAGGTCTTTCCTCCCCACTGCTGTCAGACTCCACAATAAAGACTTTAACTGATCAAGCACACCCATCCATACATGTGCAATAATACTAAGTGCAATAATCCTTTCTGTCATCGTTGTATTTTTACTCAGTTGTATATAGTATTTGTATTCTATTTTTATCTTATTGTATATTTATTTTATTTTATTCTACTGTATATAGTATTTTATTTTATTCTATTCTGTACAGTTGTGTACTGTATTTATTCTTATTGTATTCTAATTTTTGCCTCATAACTTTTGCACTGTCCACTTCCTGCTGTGACAAAACAAATTTCCCACGTGTGGGACTAATAAAGGTTATCTTATCTTATCTTATCTTATATTAAAATTGGTTTATGATCTGACTCTACTGACCAATCATACTGGAGCAAGCTTCGGTTGCAGAAGGAAAGGTAAGACTACAGTTACTGAAATACAATCTTAAAATGATTGCCAATCATCTGATGATGATTTAATGTTTTGTTAGCTTTTTAAGATGCTTTTTGCATCAGAAGCAGAGTAGTTGATGGGTTCCAAGACGGCACTGACGGTCATTCATGTTTGCCTTCTCTGTAGTGTTGTTTTTTGTTTGAACAAAAACTTTGTGATTTATCTGGAGCTTTAGAAACTCTTGTCCCCAATTCTGTCACTACAGTTCGTCCCCTCTTCACCGCTACCAAACTAATCACTACTGGCTGAAGTGAAACACATGTGGGTAAAGGATGCTACAAAACTCCATTATGCTGGGAAACACAGAGATTTACTTGGGAAAGACTGGCTTAATCAGCTTTGTGTGAACAAAATTGCTCTACTTACTGCAAATCTGATGTCATTTCCAGGAAATAAATACGTCGATTTGAGACAACCAGCAGCGAGGGAACCTCCCCAGGTTCTCCAAATTTGACAGCTGACATCTGAAAGTCCAGAGAAAAACAAGCAAACAGAAGGGGGTAAATGACAAAAAGCTGGAAAACACTGACTGTCTTAGCAGAAGAACAGAGAGGCTCTCCTGTGCTGATAAACTCTTTTACAACATTGTAATGAGCACCATAAAGTCAACAATAAACTATTAAACAACCACATTATCAGATGAAACCAAGCTCTGTAAGTTTTCTTGTATCATTTCCTCCAATATAACGCAAGAAGTAAGAGAACAAGTGAAAAATGGAGCAGCCCCTGTCACTGGGTAAATAAACATAACCAAGATGAATGGTGTGTGACTTCCTGTTTCCAGCTGCTTGGTCCTTTTTGCTCTTTGTACAAGTGTCTCATAGAGACAAGCAACAGCCTGGTGATTCGAAGAAGTCTCAAACAACATTTAATGACGACAGCAGTGCACAAGCTACACAAAGGAGCCAAAGAAGAGGAAGAAGAAAAAGAAGAAGAAGAAGAGTGGGGCTTCAATGGGATCCTGGGAGATTTACTGTCAGAGTTCGTCTTGGCTGACTGAGATGAAACCGCAGATGAAGGGTAATAGGTCTTAAAGTTGTCACCAGCTATTAAGTTGGAATTTTTTTCACCCCACTGGGGAGATAATCTAAAGTTTTTTGTTGTTTTTTTCCTTTAAAACCACAGTCACAAAAGAAACAATAACACCGACATATAAAAACGCTGCACTGCCAAAATTGAGCGATCAGTCATAGGCTGCCATTGCCAGCAAACTTGTGCTTTAACATAGAGTCTGGAAACAATAGTGTTTCCTGAATTACACTAATGCCAGTAAAGATTTAAAGACCCTGAAAACATATTTTCTCAATCTTCTCTTTACTGTGAATTATGAAACCATACAATAATACATTTTTTTCTTTGGTTTTTAAGCTCTAAGCTCTGTGTGAGGCTCACAAACCTTAAGGAAAGAATGAAGTTCTTCTTCTTCCTCAAAGACTTCTACATCCAGGAAAAGCTTGAGCCGATGGTCCACCACCTCGTAATCCTCAGACAGAAGATCCAAATCATCTAAAAAATATATATGAGAAAAAAAAACTAAGTCATGATAAGTTACAAAGTAACTAAAATCAGCTTTGTATTTATGCTTTCAGATGATTCTACATTAATATCGTTATAGCGTAGCTTCCTGGAAACACTGGGAAGCCTTGCATACAGTATTTCTTGGTTTTTATGAAACCATATTCAGAGTTTACTGTAGCAGACTGCAGCGCTGGCCAACAGCCCTCATGCAGAAAGGCATTTAAGAGCAATAAATCCACCAAAGAACAGCAACAGAAGTTATTAGAACTGTGATGGATGGTTGTAGCTGATCAAAAACAACAGGGCACGGATCTGCAGAGACCAAAGCTGAGGCCTTTGATTTGAGAAGAGTGCAAACAGAGATCTGATTAAAACAGCCTTTGAACTTTCAGATAACTGCTTTTAAATGGGGAGAGGTGCATGCACACACAAGCATACGCACAGGTTGACGAGTCTTTAGAGACCGGTTGAAGAGGTGCTCTGGAACAATGGATGCACTGTGTCGCTAAAAAACCCCCCAAACAAACCCCATATTCAATGTGCGTCAGTGTTTTGGGATGAGTTCTCCAGAACAAAACTGCCATTTCAGAAGGACAGATTACATGGCTCTGCAACTGCAATCTCACAATTGGAAAAAACACAGAGGAAAAAAGATACAGAAAGCTATCATTACGACTCGGCCTTCCCTCTCTGAGGCTTTCATTCCTCTCCCATCACTTCCAGCAATGACTCCAATCTGTCTTGTTGCACATTTACCATGTGGTTCATCTAAAAATGGCAGCCAGATGTGGGGGGGGGAGTCAGATGCTGTCACAGAGATACAGAGCAGCTCAGAGGATTTCTGTGCCACACAATATTCATAAATATTTCTCAGTCTGCGCTCACTTTCAATTAGGACTTACATCTGTCTTTAGCAAAGGCAGTAAAGCCGATGTAAACAGTTTAAACCACATGCCACTGCTGATGTGTTTTACAATGACCACGCGAAGTGCAGAATTTGAGTTTGAAGCAATAAAACTCCACTTATATTTTACTGCTGTTTGGCTTGTTCTTCAATAAACAGTGCTGCCAACAACGTTATTTTAGATGTAAAAATGTATGTATGTGTATGTTGGGTATGCATGTCAGAATTTCACTTGGGTGCGGTTAAAAGGTGCATGTTTAGCTGTATTGTTTTTAAAACTATACTACCGGCTAACAGCCGAAAGGTTTAAAGCATGACTCGAAAGAGTTCAACCACTACTCTTTATGACAAGCGCTCGCTTATCCGTCCAAAGATGTGCACTGTGCCTGCAGTTAACTGATAAGAAGAGTTGACATTTGAGGTGAAGTGATGCTTTCATTACCAAGCTCTTCATTTCTCTTTTACGACAACAGAGTGTTGGAATAGTGACTATAAAATGCTCTACAAGCCTAAGATACAGTGCTGTGAAAAAGCCTTTGCCCCCTTTTTGATTTCTTAGTTTTTTGCATGTGACGCTTATATGTTTCAGATCAAATAAATTCTAAGTTTAAGGTTTTTTATTTACTTGGGTAATCTTTGTCAAGAATTAAAACTTGTTTAATGATTGGAAACATGACAAATATCCAAAAAATTGCTAAATAAGGAAGGGGACAAATACTTTTTCATAGCAGTGTATACAAAAGCCACATTGTAACATCTGCTGTGCATTGTGCCCGCTGCCACAACAAAAGAAAAACGAAAAGAAAAAAGAGAATAAGGAAACAGTTCAGTCGAGGGTACAACAGTTATTCTGTCTTCCTGCCTTTTGTCACTGCAGAGTTGCTCCAAAAAGTAAACGGTAAACGTCCTGTATTTGTATAGCGCTTTCCCCATGGACCCCAAAGCGCTTTACACTACATTCAGTCATCCACCCATTCACACACACATTCACACACTGCTGATGGCAAGCTACATTGTAGCCACAGCTGGGGCGCACTGACAGAGGCGAGGCTGCCGGACACTGGCGCCACTGGGCCCTCTGACCACCACCAGTAGGTAACGGGTGAAGTGTCTTGCCCAAGGACACAACGACCGAGACTGTCGGAGCCGGGGCTCGAACCGGCAACCTACCGATTACAAGACGAACTCTAGAGCCACAATCGCCCTTTATCGTAATAAAGGTAACAAGCTAACAGCTAGACAAAAGAAACAACAGCATGCTCAATTCAAAATGATTAAACAGTCTAATGGGTGCTAAACCACTTAAATCCAAAGTATTAATAAGAACTTCGGCATTCACATTTACAAATATTATAAGAGGAAAGCTTGTAAGAGGAAACGGAGAAGCCTTTTAGCCTGTGGCCACCCTCAGCCTTTCCACATTTGGGTGTGACTCTCAATAAACCACCACCTGGTCGTAGTCCATGGCCAGGTGATAGCAAACATTTAAATATTAGTAAGTACAAAGTTAATGAAGTTGTTCATCCACAAACACAGACTGTCTAAAAGCCCCCCCCTCCCCCGACATAAATAACAGACATTTATAAAATCCTAAATCACATGAGTTTGTGATACAATAAAGAAATAAAGAATACATCTCAAAGTCCATGAATATCTTTAAAAAAAACAACATATGTGAATTCATTATATATACATTTTATGACTATAGTTTTATCTATGCACCCAATGAACTAATCATAAAAACAACAACAACACCAATTGCTTATTTAATCTTCCAGGATACCCTGTTGACAGATAATTTATCCAATCAGCTTCGCTTTGGAGGTCTAGATGACTGTGAATGTCAGGCTATAGGGAACGTCTCGTTGTAGTATCTGATTATATCTAATTCTCAGCTCCTCTTACCTTCCCCACACAGCAAAATCCACAAGGCCACTTTAATTAGTGTGCCACATGTGTGGTCCTAAAGTGATTCTGTCACTCAATCTGTCTTTTTTTTTTTTACCTGTATGTGGGTGTAATAAATGATTCCCTTTAATCATCCCATTACAGACCACACAATTCAAATGGCCATTGTGAAGTACAGTACACACCGAAACCAGTAGTTAGGGTACTGTAATAAACAATAACATGTGAGCATATACAAATGTCACAGTGTAACATGTATCCAAATATTGTGCCATGAGCCAAAGAAAACAAAAAACAAAGAGAAAACAAAGGCCTGAACATTTAATTTTATGCTTTAGTTATTTTTGTGTTTATATGATGTTTGAAAGTGAGGAGGAGGAAGGGAGGCTAAGACAGTTTGATCTGAAGAGAAAAACACATGAACTGGTTCCTAAATTTAAATCCATATGGTTAAAAAAGATTAGTGGTGATGCAATCTGCTGAACCCTATTCAAGTGAAAACCTACTACTTACATGCAACTTTCATTAGTAGTCTGAATTGTTGTATTGAATTTATTTTATTTGTTCTAAATGTTTTGTTAAAATTCCTATTTTAAGACCTTAGTGTATTTCCATTTTGTGTATGTAGTTAAATGTCAGGTTAGTATTGTCTTTCTGTCACAGTAAGTCCTGTCCTGGGTTGAAATCTACTGGCTGAACAGCTCAAACGACATAGACGCGGATTTAATGTATGAACCTGGACCCTCATTACTTGCATTGTCTTCAAAGGGCAGACTCACCATTAGGGGTGGACCTTTCTGCAGGCTGTGCTTGCACTTGAGGTGGTGTAGCACCAGTAGTGGTGTAGTGGTAGCTGCCTGCTAGGTCCTCTCTACTTTGGCACACTGAGTTGCAGGAAAGGTGACTGGTCTGACTTGGACTATCTCCAATGAAGAAAGAGCTTCCTTGGGCAGTGACAAACATGGACTCTTCTGCTGCGGTAACAGCTTCTGGGATGGGACTGCTGCTGCTACTAGCATCTGTGTAATCATCCTGATGTAGAACAAAGAAAACATTAACAATTCTGAAAATCAATTACCGCAGGAGACATGGCAAAAGACAGTGAATAATTTAACATATGGGAAATACCTTATTAGCACTTTGCATGCTCACAGTTATGTCCCGATGGTCATCGTCACTGTCGGTCCTGAATGAACGCTGGATGGGTGTACTGCTGTAGGGAGACGTTTGAACAGCCACTTGGACAACATGGTCACTGCCACATTCTGGACAAATCTGACTTTTTCCTGTAAATACACACAAAAAGTATATAGTAAAGGGGACCTGTAAGGTTTTTCCTTATTTTATGTCATAAAAACACTATTACAATGATGCAATCTCATATTAAACGTTGCTAAAAAAATATTCAAATAATGAGGTCAGTATATCTGGATCATGAGAAACTGGGACTGTTGCAGATAGCGGCACATCTTTATAAGATTAATGGTGTGGGCCTCCAAAACAGGCCACACCTATTCTTACATTTCTTGGTGTACCCCTCCACAATAGGCTGTACTTCTTTTAAAGATTACTGGTGAGGCCCTCCACAACAGGCTGTACCTCTATATAAGCTTATTGGTGAGGCTCTCCAAAACAGGCTAAAGAAGCCCCGGCAACCTGCTGTTCAAACCTTCTGTTTGCGAGGGGCAGCAAATTTGAGAAAAAGAGTAGGCTTAATGGGAGGGTGGCCTTGAAGAGAAAGGAACTAAAAGGCCTTTCTTCATTCAGTAGATGAATGGAGTAGCTACACCAAGACGCGGTAAAAGATACGACTTTTCTAACCTGTGACTCATGCAGAGCTTCTCTTGTAATATCCAAGAGATAGAAATAGGTCCAGTTTAACAAAGTTACTGTAACAACTGTATGGAAATCAAGATGTATTGTTTTTTAATCAAGATATGTTGTTACATATTTTTCATGTCAAGATACAAAAAGACAAGGGTTGTATAATAAACCTGTTTGAACTTAGGTTTTGTACTCAAGAATAACAGGATGTTTAAAAGAAATCTGAAAACAACAGAGGAGAGTGACAGAAAACATGCATGGATATGTTTCAGGTCAAAGGAGATTATATTTTATCTACAAGGAGTGTATTCTGTAACCCACAGGCAAACAACTGTCTACGTCCAGACACGTGCAACGTGAAAAAATCTTTTGTTGCCCAAAATGTCAGCAGAACCACAGACTAAGCACACTAACAAAAGGTGTATGGTTCCAAAAAAAACTCTCCAAACATTTGTTGAACACAGTCTGTACAAGCCCGTGCAGGTCTTAATGTCAGGTTTGGTTGGATTGCGGGTAGGAGGCTGCTGGAATGATGACTATTATCTGCATCCTGCTGAAGTGGGAACTCTTGGCTATGGAATCCACGAGATAACGTGTTTGACGCTTCGAGAGAGGCTGTCTAAAACTAACATTTTGTCTTGTGAAATCATGGGAAACTGATAGTTGGCAAGTACTCTGAAATCAAATGAATTTGGTACTCGCAATGTGTGACCTTGTGTCATTTCTGCTTTGGTTTTTATGGTAGCACAAAACCTGCAGACCCACATATATTAATCATTAAAAAAATCTGCCTCTTACTATTATAGCATTATTCATTATCTTACTGCATTATTCACCATTTTTATCTTGATAAACAAGATAAAAATGGTGGACATTTTTGGCTTAGTTTCCTCCTGACTCACAGACCTTCTGTTTGCAGGGTATAGAAATGTATATGAAAGTTGGCTTAAAGCAGTGATTCTGAGACATTTTGGCCATCCCCTAGATCAGAGTCCAAAAAGTAAAGCTTCACACCCACCACCGGATTATTGAATTATTATCATTTATTTATGTTTAAACTGCTCATTTTAGTTTAAACTGCCCTTTATTATATCTTTTTATTGGCCATTATGACCAAAATGGCATCTTTTTGTTCACAGTGCTTTGTGCCTGTTTGCCTGTGAAAATAAGTAAACCTATAATTTACTCACCACCCATTTTCATTAATAATAAAGAACCAGCCCAGCTGAACTTTAATAACCTGAGGTTAGCAAGACAGCAGCAGCAAACTCTTCACCGTTTATTTTTATCATTCAATTTATTGTGTATTTTGACCCTGGTCTTCCACCGACGACGTGCTGTAGCTATGTATCCCACCACTATTGCTTGACCCACAGTTTGAAAAGCACTGGCTAAAAAAAGAAAGCTTAGGGCTCAAAGAGAACTAAGGGTTATTTTGTTAATCATGCAAAGCTACTCTAGGAGAGTCTAAGAAAAAACATATGTGAATTGGAACGATTTATTTCTCTGTGCAAGACATTTAATCTCTCTTTGTATACAAAAGGTGCTTTATAAATAAAATCTCCTCATCTAGAAACATCTAGTACTTGGCTATTTAAGGATAGTTTAGTTCGTGAGAGTGACCATGATTCATCAGGGATGACTCAGTTTCATGGATGAATCAGAATGAGTGTTGTAGTGTGCATGTCTGTGCACATGTGTGTGTGGGCTCCTCTCACATGTGACGATGACAGATTCAGCTATAAACTAAAGCCAGATATCACCTTGGTTTGGCAGTTTTCTATTTTTTTTTGTTGTATTTTTTTAACAAAAGTGCATTTTGTTGCCTTAAGTGCATTTTTCCCCATTTCAAAACAGCTCCAAACATCTGGCTAGTGCAAACAGATCAAAAGGTTTTTCTTAAACTCTTTTTGCTGTTTGTACATTTTTTCCTCTGCACATTTTAACTTTATGGATGCCAATTTAAAGAGAAAACATGCAAAAATACTTAAAGAAAGAATAATATTGATTTTATCTGCCTGGAGTGTTATATACATATAACACTCACTTTACTGAGTGCCTCTTCCTGTGTCTGTTTATCAACTGTTGACGATGAACGCTGCAGGAACTCACTCTCACCTTTGCTGGCCCACTGTGCCTCTATCAGCTCCTCCCCGTCCTGTTCCTGCACACCTTCTGATAGCATCACAGCTCCTCTCCTCTTTGTTGTTCGTTCACCGGCTTCCTCTTCATCGTCCCCTCCCTGAAGAATGAATTCTGACCTGCAGCGAAGGCACTGCAGGCGAATGCAGCTGTGACAGAGCTCAGAAACCCGGCGTTGGTTTTCCTCCACCACATTAGACAGTATGTCAGTCAGAGCCTGGTCAGCAAAAAAAAAAAAAATGTTTGTTAACAAGCAGGAAAACCAAGACATTTCTGCTCACTAAACAGTTCTGCAAGAGTCAAAGGTGGTAATAATACATTTTTTACAGCAGTTCAGAGATATACAAGCATTCTCCACACATTCCAGACAATATTAACTTTTTCCTGTAACTACACAAAAAAATTATATAGAAAATTAAAGGGTACCTATAATGCTTTGTGTTATTTTATGTCACAGATATACTGTTACAATAGAGGATTCTCATATCAAACATGGGCAGGCAATTTTCCCACGAGGCCGCATGAGAAACTGGGACTGTCATGGAGAGCTACATCTTAAGTTTGTGCGGTGCTCCACAACAGGCTGCACCTTATTATTAGACAATATGTCAGTCAGAACCTGATCAGCAAAATAAAAAATAAGAAATAATTCTGGAGGAGAGAAAGGTGGTAATAATACATTTCTGCCTGCAGCCCATGAGATATACAAGCATTCTCTTTGCTTTTCTCTCTGACAGGCGACTGCAAGCTAAAAACTGAAGTATTTATATAAAATGTCTTAACACATAGGCGTCAAACTCTGGCCCGCAGCCTAATTACATTTGGCCCGCGAAGCCACACCAAATTACTATCAGAGCTGGCCTACTGGTATTATACAGATAATATATATATTGTTTAGTATTAAGCTTTGCTTGTTCCATATTCAGTTTTTCAGCAAAACGTTTTTGAGTCCATTAGAAAAGATTCATTCTTATATCTGGAGGAATAAATATATTTCAATAAATATTAACGTTAGCCCGCGACTTTGTTCCAGTTTTGAGTTTTGGCCCACTGTGTATTTGAGTTTGACACCCCTGTCTTAACAGGATAGGAGAACTCGAGAAAATATTAGAATGGGTTTCCATAAACTACTACGTTTGACAAATTTCTGAAACTAGCAGTCATTCTTAGTTCTTTCCTTAAGTAGAACCTCAAGGTGCTCGTTTGGTTTTACACGTAATTCAGTTATGTGTGTATTTAAACATACATTACATATTAACTGAACAGCTTTCTGCTTTTAACATTTCATCTGACACAGGTTTTAGATTGTACTGCTGTTGATTGTCGTCAGGTACACAAAGGTAACATGGACTGAGCAGAGGACAGCCTGTGAACATGCCCAGACAACTACAGCATGTCCAAGAAGTCAGTGGGTGGGTGTTCTTATTTACGTACACTGCTTCATTGTACGCACCTTGCACGTCATCCGCATTGATGTGTGGGAAAATTGACAGCACAAACAACCACTCCTGGCAACAGAAGTTTGTGTGCATGAATTTAAATGTGTGAGAGTTTTTCAGCTAACCTGCAGTGCTTGCTGAGGGTCATCATCTAACAGGACGTAGCGTCTCCTTCGTTTGTCCTTGCTGATGTAGTCAAAGTAAAGTTCTACAGCTGGAAACTGATTTTCTAAATCCTGAAAGATAGTCAAAGTCATTTATCAAGTTGATAAAAACATTATATTTTCCTTTATAGACGTAAAGATGTTAGAGATGAAGATGAAGAATCTCCTTTCATACCCCTCGGGTCCACGCAGCCTCAGTTGTTTCCACCTTAGCCAGGCTATCCAGCTCCAGACGGCATCTCTCCTGGCCACACTGCATGTCCATCTCAAGCACTAAGCCCTTTTTGATGCACAAGAACACCTCCCTTCTTCCCTTCCTCTGCCACTGACCTTCACCAAGCCCCTCCTCTTTGTCAGATAAGACACCAACAAGCAGAGGGTGACAAAGGTCCACTAAGAGAAAAGAAAAGTAGTAGTCAGAGAAAGCAGATCATAACTGGAGGAGATTTGTGCTGATTATCCTTCAGAATAACTGCATTTTGTTAAGTCGAGCACATATTGAGTTAGATACTGTTTAAAATGTTTCTCAATTTTCAACCTCCCTACCTCCTAAATCCTCTTCTTCTTCATGATTGGTCTCGCCACTTGCTGCTCTAGCAGACCTGTGGCTCTCTGGACTTGGCTGAGGTGAACTCACTACTCCCTGGCTCATCACCAGCCCATCTACCATGCTGTTATCCAAGGTGGACTCTGTCAGCTGAGGGGTCTGACCACCTTGCAAGGTGGACTCCATTTCCAGGTCTGCATCCACATCAGAGGCCTCATTTCTGGGTTCAGAGGAAAGAATAGGTGGTGGGAGGACTTCCGGGACCTTGTGGGAAGACGGCGGCAATGGCTGCTGCTGTGGGATAGATGTAGTGGTAGTAGCGATGGTGGTGGTGAGGCCGTTGGAGAGGGTTTGAGAGCAGGAGGTTTGCTGGTTAACAGTGGTGGTGAGCGTTAAGGGTGAAGCTCCATCTAGATGGTGTTCATATCTTAGCCAGTCTTCTCCGAGTTGTTCCCTGAAGCTGGACATGCGTTCAATCTCCTGCTGGTGCTGAAGGACGATGCCTAGAAGAGGAAAAAGAACAGAAAAAAAAAAACAAAAAAAAAACAAACATTCATGCTCGTATCCACCTCTATACTTTTAGTCTTGGACTTTGCATGACTTTTCTTAGTTGAGCATATGATAAGGTTATTTGATACTTTAGCAATATTTAACAAGAGCATACTCCATTACTACAGTACAAGGTAAATCATAATTTTTGCCTTTATGTTGAAACTTTAGACGGCAAACATGTTTTGACAACAAACCCTGTGTGGAGGACAAGGGTCTGGACTCATAATCAGTATCACTGGGTTCGGATATACTGGCCCTCCGCACTTTCACCTTACTCTGAAACAAAAATTGACAATTTTTCATTAAATATCAGAGAAAAGCACTAAAAAAAAAGCATATCAACACCCAAAAGAGCATCACTCCCACCCTATTTTTCCTTCTGCGAAGGTTTGAGACAACCGCTTCGCCGACGGACAGGCTGTCACTCAGCTCCCCCATCCCACTAGATGCTTCCTGGTAACTGCGTTCTGCAGGCATGGTGTAACCTGAAGGCAAAGTCTGCACCTGGACCATCAGCGGCCCTGGTTTTGGCAGAACCTGCAGAGAAGAGTACTCCAACTTTACTACCACAAATGATTTTAAGTATTAATTCCACATTTTCTTTTCCAAATACAGTGCAAATAAATGTAGATTATACCTTGCTACAAAGTAGGGCTGCTCGATTATGGCAAAAATGATAATCACGATTATTTTCACTGAAATTGAGATCTCGATTATTTGACGATATTTATTTAACAATAACAATGTATTGAATGATGGCTTTAAAGATTGTCAAAAAATAATATAAAATAGTGTGCAAATACTGATAACAGTGCAAATATTTGCAATATAAAAAATAAATGAAAAATGTAAACATCTATGTTTAGTGAACTTTGCAGTGTTGCTCTGTGGTGCAGCTACGACACTGTAGCAAAGTTTACACACTATGTCTACTTGATCCACGTCTGACTCCGCGAACCCATAATGTTTCCACACCACTGAAGTTTTTTTTACCTCTCTTTTCAACCAATGGCAGTCACTCTCCTCTCCAAATAACTTCTGCTTAGAGTTGGGGGACCTCTTAATCAGCGGTCCCCAACCCCCGGGTCCCCAACCCCCGGGCCTCGGACCGGTAGCGGGCCGCGAGAGTAGAGGCTCAGGTGTGAAATGTATAGTTTTCAGGGTTTTTAATCGGCTTTCAACGTTATTTTGTTATCGTTTTTATTGTTTACTCTGTTTTCCTGGGTCTTTTCACGTGTGTTATGAATAAATTTTCTTTTTTTCGGTACCGGTACTAGTTTTATTTTGTTGTATTTATCCGCGACACCTTAAAGGCCGGTCCATGAAAATATTGTCGGGAATAAACCGGTCCGTGGCGCAAAAAAGGTTGGGGACCGCTGCTCTCAGTGTTGTGACGCGTGTTCGAAATGCAGAGAGGTGCGCTCGATTTGCCACACGGAGCAGCGCGAGAGTAAAGCACGAGGGAGGGGCTAATAATTGGCTCAGTCATTTTTAATGATCGTTGAAAGCCCAGATCGTAATCGTGATTACAATTCGATTAATTGGTATCAGCTCAGACGGCACTTTAAACAGACTGAACTCTCTCTTAATGCACCACCGCATAGACATTGCATGTTCTCCCCATCCTTAACAGACAAGGCATTTAACATATGGACAAAGCTTGGAATAACATCAATGGCTGCTCTTTTCACGGACAATATCTTTTCCTCATTTGAACAGCTGGTGAACAAGTTCAAGATCCCTCAGTCACACTTTTTCAGGTATCTACAACTCAGGAATTTTGTTGCTTCTAATACTGACTGCTTTCCGTCCTGTCCACGTCCATCCCTTTTGGATGATATTTTTGATTTTAAACCAAATGCTAAGCGGGTTATAAGTGATGTTTATGAGCTGTTAAGTGATTTTAGGCTGTCCACATTGCAATCACTTAGGGAACGATGGGGAAGTGATCTTGGCCAACGGATTGCAGATGAGACTTGGCATAAGATAATCAATAGAATTTCTTCGTCATCTATTTGCCTTAAACATGTGGTGATTCAGTTCAAAGTTGTTCACCGTCTCCATTGGTCTAAAACTAGACTGAGCAAAATCAAGGATGGGTTTGACCCCACATGTAACCGGTGCAAACGAGAGCCTGCTTCCCTATTTCACATGTTCTGGGCATGTCCAAAACTGGGTAGCTTTTGGAAAAGCATATTTGAAACCATGTCCAACATATTTGATGTTCCAATTGCACCCTGCCCGTTTATAGCTATTTTTGGGGTGGCGCCTTGTGATGCTAGTCTTTCCAAATCACACTCTGATCTTCTGGCCTTCTGCACTCTTTTGGCCCGTAGAATGATATTATTGAAATGGAAAGAGCCACTTCCACCTGTATATGGGCAATGGGTTAAGGATGTCATGTACTATACTCAGCTGGAAAAGATCCGCTACACTGTAAAAGGTTCGGTTCAGAGGTTTTATGGCACATGGCAACCTTTTCTTACTTACTTTGAAAGATTAAGTCTGGATACTATTGCTTAATGTGCGTGTGAGTGGGGTTTTTTTTGGGTTTTTTTGTTGTTTTGGTTTTTTTGTTGTTGTTTTTTTTCCCCCTTGCTGCTGTTCATTTATTTTATTATTTACTTTGTATCTGTAATTTTATTTTATTTTATCTCTTCTTTCCTCTCTGGCTGGGTTTTAGTTACACAGTTCTGGATTGGGGGGGGGGGGGGGGGGGGGGCAGGACTGTTTGTTAATATTGCCATAATTGTTGTTGGAAGCAATTCTTTGTTCAATAAAAAGACCTTGATCAAAAAAAAAAACAATTCGATTAATTGAGCAGCCCTAATACAAAGTAAATAAATGTAGCAAGTAGCAACAATTTACACCGCATGAATTTTTGAGTCACTCTGAAGAGAATCTGCTTTAGTATCAAGCTTTTAAACTGTGAGATGATGAAGTGATGTTAAGAGTGAGACTCACTGATATTTCAGATGAGGACAGTAGGGTGCCATCAAGTTTGAGCTATAAAGAAAGAAAAAAGGGAATGCCTGAAATTTTGGGTGAAAACAAGAAAGGCAAAGCTCAAACCTTTGTGTGAATAGCAAAGCTGCACTTTGTGACAAATTGGAGAACAGATGACCCAGAGGCTACTAGAACTTAAAAACAATACTTTCACATCACATTTCCATCCTTCTTTGGAAATGTAAGGTAAACTTTAAAAGTATATATATGCATAATACATTCAGTTACAATTCTTATCACTCACTCTGGTGTTGGCAGCTTTTGGCGAGAGGTGTCTGACTGTGGAGGTGCGGTGGGTCTTCTGGAAGTACAGTGGGTTTCCTTCCAGATTCAACTGAAAAAAGACAGTAGAGTTTGCATTCTTAGCTACTCACCTATGGAAAAAAAAACTCCCAGTTTGAGACAAGGAGGCAGAAAATCTTAGGCTAGATTACATGACTTTAAAGTTTTTGTGTAAAACCTCACCATTAGATGTCAGTAGACTGCTGATTGAAGTTAACTGAATTCAACTCTTTTATTAGCATTAGCTAACTTCCTGGCTAATGTTAGCTAAGTGCTCAGATGCCACTGGTCAGCTGCGACGTTAATGCTGGACCACTATTGTTATGATGATGATGTAGGACCAACACAGGGATATCAAATCGTAAAGATTGTCAGTCCACACTTTACCTCAGCTGTCAATATATGTACATGCCTATTTACTGTGGGTGAGGCTATAAATCTTTGTGAAAAGAGTCTGATACAAGTCGATGAGTCAATGAAGTTTACTTCTATTTGATTGGCGCGATACTGAGGTGAGTTGTTCAAGATATCCTGAACGTTTCTGTCAGTGTTTTTGCTGCTGTTAGCTTCGGTTAGCCTTTGTTAGCTGCTGCTAGTGAAACTTAGTGAATAAACTGCCATACAATGTGGGAATGTAATCAAACTGTGTCACAGGGCTAAAGCCTAACATTAGCTGGCATAACATTAGCTTATAACCAGCTGTCATTGTTCATCCAGCTTTCATCAGCTGTACAGAAATGGGGGGATTTTGCATCTAATCTGTTGCCAGGTTTTTTGTGTTAGGGCCCTGACTTCAGTTCTGCAGGGGCTTGAGGTGAGGAAGAAGAGGATGATATTCTATTAAGATACTGGTGGTGTTGCCTCCTTCCTTCCTGTTTTCAGTTTGTCAGTGGAGGGGACCCCTTCTTAGACGATAAAACACAAAGTATGAACCTTCATATCTAGAGTCTGAAGGTGCATATACAAATTCAAATTTGCCTGAACACCATGGGAATGGCTACGAGTTCTCTCCTTCTTTGGGATGTATGTGGCCAGTCCCTAACCACGTAGATAAAATATGATTAGGCAGAACAGTGACGTCCACTGTATTCAAGATGTTTGTGGCACAAACCAGTGCCGGCGCCTGTGCATTTTTAATGGGTTAAATCTAAGTTTATAAGAACACATCAGTTTGTTGGAAGATGTAATTACACACTAATCTGTGTATATTGATGAGTACAACTTTATTTTTCTATAACATAAACTCAGAAAATGGCTATTGCACCTTTAAACCATTGTTTAGTTATGCCGCTATAAGCTCAGGCAGCTGGGGGACCTCAAAGTCAACCTCATTAGTATTTTCTAGAGATGTGAGGTAAAATGCTTCCTCTGTATCGCAATGTTACAGACTCTTTCAAAAAACAAAAACAAAAAACAAATACTGGATCCTGGTGAATTCCAACAGTTTAGCCCAGCCCCACTTTTGTAACGTTTTCATGCAAATCCATCCAAAATGGTTGAAGAAACCTGCTAACAAGCAGATTTAAAAACAATGAGCCCTAATCGCTTGACCTCACTGGGAGCAGTAACAAAGTGTCATGTAAATTTGATCATCTAAGGATAAATGTGTGCATGTGTGCATCTTTACTGTGTTGAGGCAGTGCAGCAGGGAGAGAGGAGCCAGCTGGGAATGCTCCAGCAGGATGTTGTAGGCCAGGTCTAAATGCTGGAGAGAAGACAACTGTTCCACGCCTGTTTTGATGAGAGATGCCAATGATGCAAGTGAATTCAAACTCATGCACAAGTTCAAGAGCACTGGTTTTAAAGGAAAAAAATGACCAAACATTAAGTTGTGTAATTAAATTCTCATGTTCTTTTCCCTTATTAAAAATGTCTCTGTGTGATGAAGAAAACTATCTTACAAAACAGTGGCAATAAAGTTTGTATATCTTCACGCTGCTTCCTCATCTACCAGCTTCATCACTATTTGGTCTCTTTGCTGAGAAGGTAAATTGGGCTTTAAGAAGAGTACGGGAAGCCTGCGACTGATAACAGTTGTTCCTACCGTTGATGGTTTCCAGTTCGTTGTTCCTGAGGATGAGTGTGACCAGCTTGGCCCTAGCACTCATACCGAGTGTTGGCGCCCTCTGCAGGCAGTTGTAGCCCAGGTTCAAGTGTTCCAGCTCAGTCAGAGCCTGGGCGAAAGCAAAAATAAAGTAAAACAAGATTACTGTAAATTGCAGAATAAACAAATAAAGCTTAGATTCTATGTAACCAAATGCTGATAGCAATCCAACCTTTAGGAATTCAGCACACTCCTGAATCTTGTTATGGCTTAGATCCAAAGATTTCAGGACATTCAGTAAACTCTGTAAGATTTGAAGTTGAGGTTGGAAAGAAACCTTATGCTTATGAATCAGTAATGACACATCTGTGTATTTGCTTGTCTCACCAGTGACTGGTCAAGGCAAACTATGGAGTTGTAGCTGAAGTTCAGGGTGTGAAGTTCAAGCCACGGTAGTGCTGAGCTCAGATCACCTCCACACAGAGAGAGCAGCTCCTAAAAATGCACATCATATAAATCACTGAGCTTTTTGGTCCTCTCATGAAACCTGCTCATGCTACCGGCTGGGAGTACCTCCAAGGAACTGAGGCTTTTTGAGCAGGTAAAAACCTCCAGCTGGGAGTAAATTCCTCTGAGGCCCTCGAGACAGTGAGGGGGGATTCTCTTCAGCTGGTGAGGAAGAACAAGCAGGGACGAGTTATAATGTAAAAGACCTGTGACCTTAAACAACAAGAAGTGAAAGTAGGAAGTATTCACACATTACCTCCAAACACTTCAGAGACTTGAAAGGGAAAATTTTTAACACAGACTTGAGCCTCACACCCAGCGGGTTGATGAGCTGCAAACACACAGCGAGTCAGAAATTAGTTGGCAGGGCCAACTTTTTGGGACTCAATGTGAAAGAACCAAGTTCTGGGTTAAAACCAACCTTGAGGGAAACTGTCTTCTGCAGGATGTCAAACAGGAACTGCAGCTGCAGCAGCGAAGCGGTGTCAGCTGGGTGGGAGGGCAGTGCGAGGAACCCGTGTTGCTGGCTCCGGGATAGCAAGTACTGCTCAAACAGCCTTGTGAGCTGCTGCAAGGTGGCAGCAGGCAGGGTCAGCGTGCTGCTGCCGTCCAGCACCATGTCACCTGAAGGGTGAAAGCGAGCTTTCATGCTTAAAGTAATCAGCCAGATTTGACTCACAAGTGACAAGTTAGTAGGGGTGGGGGGAAAAATCGATACTGTGTAGTATCGTGATATTTTGTTTGCTAATAATGTATCGATACAGGGACAGCAGAAATCGATATTTTGTTACAAAAAAGGTTTTTGTGGACTGGAACTCTGACTTCAGAGCATGTTGATCCTTTTTCTGAGCAAGAATCCTGACACTGTCCAAATGTGTTTAACTTTTTTTTTGGCAGCAATAAACATGACAGTTTACTTATTTTAATTTAAGACATGTTTTATTTTAATTAAGTTTAAAACTTTTTTTATTTAATGTAAAATTATATTTTGTTTTAATTTATTGTCAAATTCTTCAGTTGCTGAATGGGCTGCATAGTTTTTATAAATAGCTATAATTGTACCAGATGGTTGCATTCAGTTCAGTTGGACTAGACTGTAATACAAACCGTTCAGTTTGTCAACAATAAAACTGACTGAAATGAGAGAAAGACTGAGTGCGAGACTTTGATATTAGATAAAATGAATATTGATAACGTTTACCTTTATGTACAGAATCTGAATATCGCAAAATATTTTTAAAAATTGCAATAATATCATATCGTGCGTTAAGTATCGTGATAATATCGTATCGTGGGATGTATGGTGATTCCCACCTCTGCAAGTTAGTCAGCTACAGAATGAATGAGTAGCTCCAATGCAGTGCTACAGATTTGGAAGCATCCACCTGAATATTATTGTTGTTGGATGTCAGTAGAGCTCAGTAATTTAGGTAGCTATGCCTCTTTTTCACCAACTTCTACTCAGCGCGACTCAGTTTTTAAGGTTTTCCATTAGGTGGTAGTAGCTGGTACCACATACTTTTTAGTATCACTTTGGCCCCGGTTCTAAGCGAGCCAATCTGAGCCAAAAATGTGACGTCAATGGACGGCATGCCGCTAATCGGCCAGGCAGCGACTACACTGAAAGAGACACGAGTGCGACTCCTTCCCAAGACTCAAACCTGCCATTTTTTAAACCTGGTAACAAGGGAAGTGTTTACACACGCCTCCCACCAAAACCTTCACTTGATGTGTTGTGTTTGTGGCGCATACTACTGAGGTCTTGAGATGTTTGGGCAGCCTTGCTGTAACGACCCCACCCACATTGAGATGGTACTTGTAACTGAAAAATGCAGAAACTGTGCAGAGTAGGTGCCAGTGGAAAAAAGGCTTTAGTGATCACAAACTTGGCAAATGGCTGAGTGTGTTAGACACACAAAAAATCACAATCAAACTACCGTATTATACTGTTGTTAGTGGTCTGATGTCGGCTAAATAATTTGCATTTCTGAAAATGAATCATTATCAGTGAACTATTAACACCACTCTCATTCATGTATTTAGTTCATATTGGAGAGTTCTGTGGACAGGAGGAACCTCAGAATAGCATCCCTGCTGTTTGGTGATGATGTGGTTCTGTTGGCTTCATCAGTGCATGACCATCAGCATGCACTGGAGCGGTTTGCAGCCGAGCATGAAAGCCAGCGACTCTGAGTCTGACGAAGCGGTTCACTGCTGGGAAAACAGTGCAATGCTCTATTTGGGTTGGGAAAGAGAGGCAGCCTCAAGGCGAGTGAGTTCAAATATCATGGGATCTCATTCACGAGTGTTGGGAAGCTCGACGGACGGTTTAGCGCGGCGTCAGCAGAAACCCGGCTGTTGAACCAGGCCGTTGTGGTGAAGACAGTTTCGATTTACTGATCCATCTACGTCCACAACCTTCACCTGTGGTCATGACTTCTGGGTAACAACCAAAAGAGTAAGGCAGTGAATACACCCTTTACCTGGACTGTGCCTTAGAGGTGAGGTAATTACTTAAGGCCCGGGCACAGAATCGTTACAACAGAGGCTCCACTGGACAGTTTCGAAAAATGTGAAGGAGGGCATAAATTTTGGACTTTTTATCAATTTTTTTAATAAGTTTATAAGTTTTTGTTCTAGTGATAAAAACCTCCCACATGGACATTCAGAAATTAAGTAATAGATAAACATTTAAATGACAGAAAAGGTTGTTTAAATTTAGCACTATCTGCTCCAGGAACTTCTTTTTACAGCGGGCCCATAGTAAAAATTACCTTGATGCCATTTTTACTGAAAATCACAGAAAATGAAAAGCACAGAAAATGATTTCCTATTTTCTATAAATTAACGAAAACTTAGTTTTATAATTACAGGACAGTCTCAGCGATGAGCAACTAAATCTTGTTCTGAAACTTTACACATGTATTTCTTACAATTTAAGCACACAATGCTTATTGACAGATTTCTTTCATTTAAAACAACAGCATTTCTTTATCGTGCATGGTTAAATCTGGGAACGCCTCTGGATCCCCCAGGAGGGACTCGAAAGTATGGCTGCTGTGAATGTGACCCAGCATCAGATAAGTGGAAGACAATAGATGGATGGTTGATTTCTCTCAATAATATAACACCCCCTTTCAAATAACTCCTCAGACAAATTAAAAGGAAAACATTATCTGTAAACAGACTGTAAAACCCCTACATTATTAATGAATAGGGGATTAGGCTGGCTCAGTTATTATCTCATACATCGTCTGTTGAAATAGCTTAAAGCGCAATCAGCTTTTGGGGTGGGGGGAAGGGTTGAAGGCTCTTAGATTATTATGTTTCCTCACAGAGCGAACCTGGATGGTCCTGAACCTGTCAACATGAGTTAGCCGCCTCATGATCCTGTGTCATGCTGCTGTTTTTGGACGGATCTTGTACGGAAAGGGAACAGTGTCACACTGGCACATACCGTTATTTCGGAGAAGCGTGGCCAAGCTATGTACGAGAGGAGAGTGGCCCGTCTGAAGTGCAGCCATCCTGTAAGAATTCAAGAAATAGTCCTGAGTACACAACTCACGGAAATTAAAAACAGAAAAGCTTGTCTTGCACGCGTTCAGTACGTTTCGTGCTGTTGTTTCAGCGGATTTGATAAAAACAAAAGACGACTACAGACAACTATACCACAGCCTCGGGCTAATAAGCACTTTTTCCGTGTTAATGTAGTTAGCGTTCAAAGCTTTAGAGACACGCTAACTGACATAGGCATCCAAAACTCTGCTATTGCTAGCAGTTAGCTCGGCTAAAGTATCCCGATAAGTAAGCAAAACGACATACCTGTGCAATGACAGCCGACAGCCGGATTGCTAACATCAAGGTGTTAGTTATAGTAGAGCATATTAATTTTGGCGCACAAAGAAACGCCACGTTATGGTGCTCATTTGTTATTGTGGCAATCAAGCGCAGAGTGATGTTGACATTTTTTACCTCCGTCACATGACGGAACTGAAAGCGTGTACGGTAGCCTCGTTATACCAAAAGGTATGACTCTTACGCGCCCATTAATAATAAAGTTTCTTCTTTTTTAAAATCGTTCTTCTTCTTCTTCTTCTTCTTCTTCTTCTTAATATTATTATTATTCATAATAATAGTAAAAATCCTCACAGTTTGAATAAAGGCACACATTAAAGATAAATATAAATGTCACTGCATATAGTCAAAAGGTCAAACGTTCAGTTCAAGGTTATTATACTAAAATTAAACAAACATAAACTAAAACTAGATGTGCAAAAATTGTTGTTAACTGAAATAAGAATAAAAAGTGGCCCTTAAAAATAATAAAAATTAACTGAGATGATTTTTGTAAAATGTGGAAATTTACTAAAACGTTAAAAATCTATTTAGAGAAAATAAATATCATTAGTTTTCCTCTTTGTCAGTTTGGTAAAGTTTGTTATTACAGCTTGCCTGATGAGGCTTTGATGACCTGATACTTATGTCTGCAAGACTTAAAGTACTGGCTTCAAAAAGTGGTGCTTTTTTATTTTAATACCTATGCAGATTTTCCTGAATCTTGACTTCAGCATATGTCCTCTATATAGTATTACAATTTTTAAACAAAAAATTTTAAACAATAAAAACTAAACTAAAATGAGCAAACCCGATCAGGAAACTGACTGAATCTGAATTTTAAAAACAAGAAAACAGAAACAAAAATAAAACTGATTTAAGAAAATACAAAAGTATAATAGCTCTGTTATGATCTTACAATAATTCAAAAATACATATTTTTATACATATATAAGATGTAAACTATGGCCAAAAAATACTGAAAGAACGATTAAGACAGAGCAAGCCTATAAAAGCAGTTCTTTTCGTTCTACTTAAAAGGCACAAAAATAGAAACAGACGTGTAGAAATGCATAAGAACTTTTTTTAAAAAGAGATTTTCTACTTTTTCATCAATAAAAAGTTCTGTCATGTGCTAAAACATTTCTCGACATGATGTATAGTTGAAATTTAAACGTCTGTGGCCACTGGGTGGAGCACTTGCAGCAAAGAGGCTAGATTCCATATAATGGTCTGTATTAAATAGAAATAAATACAAAACTGCAAACAGCGAGGATATATACAACTTTCAGATGTCAAAACCATAGAAAATGAGCATCTGTGCATAAGTAGCAGTATATACTATATGTGTTTTAACTTTGTGCTTGAAAACCAAAAGCAAATAAAATAAAAATATATATATACATAAAGTTAAGATGAAGTCAGGCAGAAGTGTTGCAAATCTTACATGGACCCTTCAAAGGTCATGCACTAAAGACTTTTTCTGGCTTCTTCCCTTTAAAAGCCCATATAATAGGACACAGACCCTGTGGTAGCTGTGGTTTTACAGCTGCTGGCGGGTGTTGGTCCAATCAGATTCCAGCCATGGCAACCAATAAAAAACAGAGTTCGATGGGTGTCCAAGAGGCATCATTGGAGCTTGCACCGCATCTACTCATATCAAAACAGACCAGATTAAATTGAATTGAATTTGTGGTGAACCAACATGAGCTTGATTTTAGCAGGTAGGTCAACTATAATAGAAAGCAGAATATAAATCTGAATATAATCAAGAATACTGTGAAGGTTTACAAGACAATCACGTCCATGTACAGTGATTACATAGCATGTAACCAGGTGACAAGCTTTAACCTCTGTACACTTAACTGATCTAAACCAGGAAAGCAGTTTTCAGCAGCCCTTTTGTTTTATTGGGTAACACTTTTGGCTTCATAACAGATACTTTACAATGATTTGCATGAGCAAATAAAGCAGGAACTTTCCTAATTTGCACATGCATCACTTGTTGCTAGGCAGCAAACAAACATACTCTCTCGCACACACACACAAACACACAAGCATTTTTCCATTTGGGACTTGTGAAGCGAACATTTCCATGTAAGGATTTATGCTCTGTAATTTGGTAAACATTTCCATTCAGTAAGATGCTGTGCGTTTTACCCGCTTAAGAGACCTGAGTGCATATTCAGTTAACCCCTTAGTCCCAAAGTTTTATTTATTTAATTTTACATTTTTCTTTTCACCTAAAAAAAAATAGAATCCAAAGTGAGATTTGCACAAATGCTAATAATTTTACTTTGGCCAAATAAAAAAAAAACCTGTACCGCAGACAATAAATGAAAGCCTCATGGCCGTGATTCAGTGACACTGATGTTATCAAACATGTTTTCAAACCTCCAGGTGGTAACCCTTCTAAATTTCATACAGCAGAAATGAAGTACAATACATTCCACATGCAGTTTAGTCATAGTGCTACTAGAGGTCAGCATCAGCAAACCTTTGAACCTTTACATAATGTATGAAGTGGATCACCTTCATCTGGGAGGAAGAGGTTACCCATGCATGCATGTCTACTAGTTTTGACAGTTAATTACAATATGAAGTCATAATCCAGCTGCGTATCTGCTGTTCGTGTGACCTTGGTAACTCCCACTAACCCCACTAACAGGATGATATATTATTTTCCTAACTCCCTGCTCATTGCTTTTACTTATCCAATCAGTAATCCAAGTAAAGGGAAACTGTATTTAAGTCAGTAATCAAAGCCAGACTTTAAACAGTGCACTCATTCATTGTCAAAGTGTAAAAAATGGACTTGTTTTCACTGATAAGATGCCAGGAGAGTCCAATAACCTTAGTAAACTCGGTTTTATTCTTATTTGTTTTAAATGACAATGCATTTTGAAATTAGAGATGACTGTGAAGTAACAGGCTTGCAGTGAGGCCTAGCAGTGTAAAATTAACTAAATACATCATATTAATCGGTAAGATAGTGATTCATCTCTCCACTGGCTAGATAGGAGTTTGAATAATTCATCAACAATGAGAGATTCTTTTCAAGATAGATGGAACTCTATTGGCTTATTCAAATTAGGAATTTTTAGTTTTAATTAGGTATTTATGTGCTTTAAGTGCTATTGAAGCATATACATTTCCTATCTAATATATCGGCAATGACCTCACCGATAGATTCACGAGCCTTGTCATCAGCAACACCTCTCATGTTGATCTGATCTCAATGTGATCTGAACTACTTCCAGATTACTGTTTTCTCAAACAAAAATTCTGCTAACAGTTTGAACTGTTCAGCTATGTTTACTGGCTTACTCTTTCAGTAATTCATGTACTATTTTTATCTGCAACTCTGTTCAGTTTATTCATGATTTGACTAAATCTAGTCATTAATTAATATTTTTTTCTTTTTGGCTTATGTGAGAGTTTAGTTAGACTTTTCTAACATTTTGGCCATAATTCTAGCCAGCTGTTTATCAGGGCTAATCATTTAATTTCTTTATATTGTTTGCAAATTCTATTAGAAACATTTTTTAAACACATTTGCCTATTGCGTACTTACCTATTACTTACTTAGCTACTGCTGGCATATTATTTACCTACGTATTACTTACCTAGTACTTTCTTATCTAGTATTTACTTACCTATTATTGGCCTAGAACAGTCTTACCTATTATTTACCTGTTCCTTACTTACCTATTATTTTCCCATGTATTCGAATAATAATGTTTTGCTGTATAACTATTATTTATTTATTATTCAAGTGCCCCCTGGGGTGATTGTATCCATTTCCGGGATGGGCTCTTACATAAAGAACTCCCTCTGTATACAGACTGAAGCACATAGCACATCAGTGATCCCATATTTGTCTCTATAAATGTAGAATTTATCCAGAGTTTGTGTTTTTTTTAATAAGTCCATGGGGAGGAATTTAAGTAACTGACCTTGGTGGGGATCACTTTGCACACAGGGGCAGATACTGTGGCGTGTTAGGCCTATAAGCTGGTGACCATCCCAGACACATTACCGGCTTTCTCCCCACTGCTTTTCCATCCATGGTTTTTGTAAAATGACATATGAGGTTCTATGTGCAAACAGCTTTTTATGCATCCCCCTAACTCACACCCCCGAGATATAAAGCAGCTTCAAATGTGCCCTTTCTCCCTCCCCATACCTCCAAGGTGAGCCAGGGATGCCGATCTTGAATGGGGCTAAATAGCATGAAATCAGTGGGTACCCACAAAACAAAATAATCTGCATTTATATCTGCGGAGTAAGGTTACACATGGCGTTTCTATTTCTGGGCCCTTGGATAAACACCTATTAGTCTGGTGCACTGGACGGGGTTAATATGGCGCCTGTTTAGCAGGCGAGCGCGACACCTCAAGGCTTGGCCTCACCAATCAATAGGAAACACTGCTGTGTAACACACACAGTAGCATCACTGTACACAGGTATATAGGCTGGTAGCAGCTGGCAAATTTTAATTGAGTGTCAATTGACATGTCAGCCACTGTGGGGATGTCTTTCCATGTAAGGAATACTCTGCACATAGTCCTTTTGTTTGTTTGTTTGTTTGTTTATACATTCTTGGGAGTTGAGGGGAGAAGGTGCTGATTGAAACAAACAGGCTAATGTAAAGTAGTCTTTGAATATGCAAGCTGTCTTTTTCTCTCTCTTTTTTGAGCTCAACTTCAAGCCTCACATCGCTTTTGGTAAAAAACAAACAAACCTGTTTTTCATTTGTGAATAGTTTGCCAGTAATCGCCTATAAGAGGTTAATTTTGCCTTGATACGGCCATAAAAAAGGTCTGATGTAACTGGTTCAGCTGGGGAGCAGCAGTGCAGGTCATTTAAAGATAATGATGATGATTTGATCTTTCCAATAAAACACGCCATCGAGAAATATAATGAGAAAGTGTCACAACTGCTCTTCCCCGTGAAGGAAATCCTATAATCTTCCTATTTCCCCCCTAATGAACACAAGTTTTCTTTGGCCCCGAGAGCAAACCTGGGAATGTGTAGGACCCAGCAGACCTCCCAGCCCCCCGGCTTCACCTGTTCGCGTGCACATTTCTGCTCCTTCTCTCCCCCCCACACACACCCCCACACTTGTGATTGCCTTCCACTGCCCCATGATAAT